TATCAATATTCAATCAATCTTTTCACACGTAAATCTTTTCTTTATTTCTTAGCCTGTTTTCAATCTCTCTCTCTCTCTCTCTCTCTCTCTCTCTCTCTCTCTCTCTCTTTTTCTCTCTTACTTTTTTTTTTCAATACTTGGTGGTTAGATGACAGTGGCCGGTGAATGTATAATTTATCCGTCGCATTAGAGCGAAGCAACCCTCCACACCACCCCTCCTGATGTTCTTGAGTTCCTCCATTCTTCGGCGTTTTGATTTCCCAAAGAAAGAAAGAGGCGGTATCTTTTCTCTCCCTCCTCTCTCTTTCTCCTTCTTTCTCTCAGTTTGCGAGCTTCTTCCACTCACCAGTACCTTATCCGTCCACACTGATATCCCAGCCATCCCGTTTACTCTTCTTTTGCGAGGACCTTTTTACGGCGCTACGCCGACCCTCCATTTACTCCCACGAGATCGAAATATCTCTACACACTCTTCTTTGGATCGTAGACCCTTTGTTCGAGCTTTTACACACACACACACATCTCTCTCCCTCTCTCTCTCTTTCTCTCTCTCTCTCTCTTTCTCTTTCTCTCTCTCTCTCTCTTTCTCTTTCTCTCTCTCTCTCTCTCTCTCTCTCTCTCTCTCTCTCTCTCTTTCTTTCACATAGGATATTCTTTCCAAGCATCTCTGACCACAAAGCATATTTTTAATGATCATCCATGTCCAAGCACGTCTCAAGTAGCCACTCGGTAGCGGTGCAGCTGTAAAAGTTGCAGAAAGGATGGATCTTTTTGATTCAGGACTTTATCCTTGTTCATATTTTTTTCTTCTTCTTCTTTTTCTTTTTTTCTTCTTCTTTTTCTTTTTTTCTTCTTATTTTTTCTTTTTCGGTCATAGCTATACGTTATACGATAATGGATTTATTGTATGATATTATTTATTTTCTTTTTGATCTTATGAATTTAACCAAATATAAGAATATTGAAAGAACATTGTTGATTATAAATTTCTCGTGTCTATATATTTTTCTTAAAACTTGTGGATAAGAATTGATAGAAGTTATTACCGGTAATATAATATTTAAATCTCATCATCTTTTCAAACAACATTCATTCAAGACTCTCTGCGAGGATCGTTAAATTCCTTCCCTTCTCCCACCATTTTTTTGCCAACGTACCTGCTTATTAACTCGCTCATTATATCTACTGTGTAATTATGTGAAAAGTTTACTTTTTTCTTCTTCTTCTTCTTCTTCTTCTTCTTATTATTATTATTTTTTCTTTCTTCTTACTATTATTATTTTTTCTTTCTTCTTCTTTTTCTTCTTCTTCTTCTTATTATTTTTTTTTCTTTCTTCTTCTTACTATTATTATTTTTTCTTTTTTCTTCTTCTTTTTTTTCTTCTTCTCCGTCTTCATCTTTACGATAACGGCAAAAAATCAGTACACTAATACCTCCCTTTTTCACTACCCCTTTCTTTCGAGGACACGTGCACTCTCATTGGGCATGTTAGAGTTTACCTCATTTCACCGTTTCTACCTCTTCCAAGGATGTTTCATAACGAAGAGTGCTCTGCTCTCTTCTCCCATCACATAAATATTTCCATCTGCAAAACTGTCCTTTGCCTTGGCAAATCTCTATTCGTCTTAGAGATCCCTCTTATCCCTTCGTGTATATTCGCACTATCTCTTTTTGGATCCGCCCACTGTTGAGAGCGTTCGTTTTTCACGATATTCTTTCTTTCTTTCGTTTTTTTTTCTTTTTTTTTTCTTTTTCCCTTTATCCTTCCTTCTCGTCCAAGGAACAACCACCGCCCACCCAGCCACACAGTCACGTTACTCTTGTCTCTCTTTTCGGTGATGAAACGAGTAAGAAGGAGACATCCGGGATTCCGCTTGTTTTTCAGCTTGGAGTATGAATATGTATGTATCTATGTGTGTGTATATATATACATATATATATATACGTACATATATATATATATATATATATATATATATATATATATATATATATATATACTTATGTATATTCCATTATACATGTTCGGTTAGTTATTACGACGCATTTCATTTTCTCTCAACAGCCGAGCAAAACAAACTTATCAATCCTCGTTTATTTCCATAGGAAAATCGAGCTGGTAACTCTTCCAAGCAAAGCAATTATCTTGCGTTTTTGTATATGTCCCTGTATGTATATGTGTAAGTATGCCTTTGAATCGCTTTATGTGTATGTACCAAGCGAACGTCCTGAATTTTACGAACCGATCTTGTAACTTCTATAGTTTAATAGTAGTTGAGAATGAGAGAGAGAGAGAGAGAGAGAGAGAGAGACGCCTATCACGAAGTAACTTTCTCGTCCCAACAATTTGACAAAGCTTAATGCGTTAATTACATCTCTACAGAGAAAGAGAGAGAGAGAGAGAGAGAGAGAGAGAGAGAAAGACAGAAACAGAGAAAGAGAGAGAGAGAGAGAATAATTACGAGCTAACGAATTTATAATTTTCCAACGATAATTAGATAACACAGAGTTGATGCGATACAAAAAAAAAAGAAATAAAAGTTACTTTTGATACGTGCAAATAAGTTTTTAACAAATTTTCCATCATCATTTATTTTTTTGGAGAACAAACGATTAATCGTATGATTATTTTCTCTAAAGAAATTTATAATATACTGTCCTTTTAAACCAAAAACACGAAAGCAACCCTAAAACATGTCTGAGAGAAGGTGGCAGGATGGGAGGGAGGAAGAGGGTAAGGACTGAGGATAGGGAGGAAATACACATAGACGTTCTCAACGCGTCGACAAGGCATACAAAGGAGGAAGGTTCGAAATCCCAGCTGTGTGTCGGCTTTGTGCGGAGAAGCTTTCGTCCGTCTTCGTTAAAACTCGGTAATATTCGTTCGTGCACCCATGTACTCGGGCTTTGCGGGGATATCTACCAGCGCAAGCACACATATTTGCACATATGTATATGTATATATGTAGAGAGAGAGAGAGAGAGAGAGAGAGAGAGAGGGAGAGTGAGAGAGAGAGAGAGAGGGAGAGTGAGAGAGAGAGAGAGAGAGTGAGAGAGAGAGAGAGAGGGAGAGTGAGAGAGAGAGAGAGAGAGTGAGAGAGAGAGAGAGAGAGAGGGAGAGTGAGAGAGAGCTTTCATGAAGGCGGGCGTACGAGAGAAGCCGAACTTAACCGAAGTATCATAGCGAGCATGTACGAGGACATACGAATACGACCGAAAGCTCAGCGAACGCGAGGTGGAGAAGCAACGTCGTTCGGAGTAGGAAGGACGCGATAGGTTGAGTCCGTGGTGAGGAGTCCGAGCTTCTACGTCGTCGTTCCTTCGCGTTCAAGGAACGATGAGGAGTAATATAAAAGAATTACGATAAGAAAAAGCAGCTTCGTGTGGCTGAAAATAAAAGAAATAAGGTCCAATCTTTAACGATACGATAGAAAGGAATTAAAATTTGAAGAAACTTTTTTCTTTCGGTGGGAAGGAGGGTGGAAGGGAGGGAGGTGGGGAAAGGAGGGGAAGCACTGGGACTGGGACCCGCGCATGTCCATCTTCCCAAGTTGGTTAGTGTCGGTAATGCTTTTAATGCGTCGACGAAGTAAAATAAGTTCGGGTCGTTAGACCGAGCGTGCTAAAGGAAAATCTAATATTAATACGCGTGGGTGAAGAACATATGCGATTGAAAGTTTGCCTTTTCTACTTTGTTACCCGGCAAATCCTCCCTTGGCTCTTATCATCGTTTTTTTACTCATCCTTTCCCTCTCTCTTTTTGGTGGCGGTAACAACCACTAGCAGCACCGGCAGCAGCAGTAGCAGCAGCACCAGCAGCAGCAGCAGCAGCAGCACCACCACCACCACCACCACCACCACCACCACCACCACCATCACCACCACCACCACCACCACCACCACCACCACCACCAATATCACCACTACTACTATCACCACCATCACTACCACCCCCACTACCACCCCCACTACCACCCCCACTACCACCGGCTAAAGTTCTCGTCCCACCCCAGAAAGCTTCTTCCTCTCCCCCCGAAAATATGGTCGGAGGCGGTGGCGGTAGCGGTGGCGGTGTTGCTGCTGTTGCTGCTGCTGCTGCTGCTGCTGGTGGCGGCGTAGCGCGGGTGCGCGCGGAGCTGCCTTAACAGCGTTCGCTGCTGGACGACACAGTGGTGACTTTGGAGAGACACGAAGCTGCGGAAGGAAAGGGTCGCAAGCTCAATCGTTCTCTACTGGATGGCTCGACGTGTATTACTACTTGGTCGTTTAGAATAACAAAGAGAGAGAGAGAGAGAAACAAAAAAAGAGTTAGACGCATATTCGTAAAGGGGGAAAAAAAACTCGTCACCATCAAGCGAACTTGAGTATATGAGAGATAGAGAGAAAGAGAGAGAGAGAGAGAGAGAGGGAGAGAGGGAGAAAAAGAGAGAGAGAAAGAGAGAGAGAAAGAGTGTGTGAGAAAGAGTGACTAGAGAGAGAGAGAGAGAGAGAGAAAGAGAGAGAAAGAGAAAGAGATAGAGTGCCGGTCGATAGTGAGATCCTTGTGCAATTTCCTCCTCATCCAAGAAGATAGAAGAAGAGTTAAGGGCAAAGAAAGGAGTGTCTCGTCCTGGATTAAAAGCTTTTAGTGTTCCTCGTGATATCCAGTGTTCGAATTTTTTTTTATCATTCACAAGAGAAAGAAGGGGGCAGAGAGAGAGAAAGAGAGAGAGAGAAAAAGAGAGAGAGAGTGAGAGAGAGAAAGAAAGAGAAAGAGAAAGAAAAGAAATAGAATATAGCAACGTTGTTTTTAACAACGTTATTTAAGAAGGAAAGACTTAGTGTCTCTTTCTATCCGTTTCTCGTTCCATCGCTTGTTTTTCCAACCTCTGTCGCAACGACGGCGGTCGATCCAGAGCTCGAGGAAGCAAGTGGTAGGGAGGAGGCCGAGGCGCAGGAGGAGCAGCAGCAGCAAGAAGAGGTGGAGGAGGAAGAGGAGGAGAAAGAGGTGGAGGCGGCGGAGGAGGAGGAGGAAGAGGAGGTGGAGGAAGAGGAGGTGGAGGAGAAAGAAGAGGTGATTTCTACGTTCGAACGAGGAAGATCGTGCTTCGTGCATCTCCGCTGCGGATCTCACGATGACGGATGGCTGTACGACGTGCGTTCTTCCCTCCTTTGAAACACGACTGACCAGCGACGGGGACGAACGGAACCACTTCTCTGTACCTTGATACGATCTCGGTGGGTGCGTTTTCATATATATACGATATATATATTATATATACATAGATACATATATATATATATGTATATATATATATATATATGTACACATATACAAAGAACATGTATATAAAGAATCACAGACTATTCTGCATATGTGTATGTACTTATGTATATGTATATGTTGAAACACTGTTTACTTATAATCCATCAATGATTAGATATTCGTTTAGCTCTTTCTCTCTTTCTCTCTCTCTCTCTCTCTCTCTCTCTCTCTCTTTCTCTCTTTCTCTTTCTCTCTCTCTTCCTTTTTCTTTCTATATAAAAAATTGATCTGAATAAACATTGCGGAATCTCTAAAGTAAAAGAAATAATCATGATGTAATTGGTAATACTCATATATCGAGAGTCCTACTCTCTGACAGAGCAAACCGTAATAAATATCGATCAGATATCGTGCGACAAGCGAAAAGTGGACCGACCAACCAAGCCACGTCATATCGTTTTCCATCTAACTGAGATATTAACTCGTGTCGATGATTTCACGTGAAATACTAAATACCAATCTAGACGGAAAGATATAAATGATTAGTATGCCGGGGCACCGCTTGTTGAATAAATGATTTAATTAATGAAAAAAAAAAGAAAAACAATGAAAAAAAAACAAAGAAGGAAAAAATATATATATATATTATATAATATATTATAATATATATATATGTATATATATATATATATATATATATATATATATATATCGATCATGTTTTACGTGAAAACGCGAGAAATCTGATTTCTTATCGTCTTACTTTCGATCAGTCCCAAGCCGCGCGAGTCATTTTGTCGACGTCCATGTCCAAAAGTTTACTACACATCACCGACAGTACTGGTGTGACCTGGTTCCTGGAGCACTCGATCTGGATACGAAAAAAAAAGGTTTAAAAAGAAAAAAAAGGTGTGTTTTGCGAGCGATACCTACTCGTTGGCCCGTTTGGTAATGGCAATATCTACATTGCCGTAAATGAAAACGTTCTTCGATTTTTATCGTCGACTCGACTCGTCGGTATTCCATCCTATTTCTTTTTTTCAATGTTTTTGAAGATGGAAGAGTGATTACGAGTCGTCGAGAAAGAATCGTTCTTCGATAACGAGTGAAGTCTTGAAACGAGACTTGCCATCGTTTCAAATATACGTATCTACCTCTTTTTCTGTTTCATTTTTCCTTCTCTTTCTCTCTCTCTCTCTCTCTCTCTCTCTCCCTCTCTTTCTCTATTTCTTCCTTGTTCCGTTGCAAACACTCTTCCACTCTAACGGTGCAGTTGCAACGGCAAAGGTACATTGTGTCTTGGTTCCTTGGTCCATAGTCCTGGTAATTGTCCTGTCTTGATGCAATATGTTGTATCTGAAAAAAAAAATGTTGTATCTGAAAAAAAAAAGAAGAAAAGAAGAGATTTTTTTTTAAGAGTTCCGTAGAATTAATTCCTTTTTTTTTTTATATAATTACTCATTTAACATGACAGCACATAGGACTTATTCCTTGCCTTGTTTTTAACACATTACCGATATAATAAAATTAACTTGACTGAAAATCACATACTATAACAATAATATTCATTAATGTTATATATATATATATATATATATATGTATATATTTATATTTATATCAGATATTATATTTATGAACTTTAAATAATAAAAAATAAATTATCCTTTTACCAAATAATAATAATAAATAATCAATATAATAGAGTTAACCTGATTATGCATCATGCACCATAAAAATGATATTTATTAATTATTATTGTATTCATAATTATATTCTGTAAACGCGATTATTAATTCCCCCTTCCTATCCTAGGAATGTCTAAGTAATTTTTTTCAACTAAAATTTGATTTGTTCTTTGATTTCGTTATATAATATATAGTAAAAATACCGTACAATATCAATTAATTTTTTGTTAGAGTCATCTCCAAGCATTTCTCTTTCGTATAAGTCCAATAAATTTAATCAAATTCCTGCCGTTATCGTAAGAGGGTATACTAAACAGAGATATAAAATTAATAGTTAAGGGTTCTACAAAATGCATATCATGTGGAAAGAGTTCGAGAACTTCTAAACGTTTAAGAAACCCTCTTTTATAATAAAGAACGCAATAATAAACATTTTAAGACGTCACTGAACAATAATAATACATTACCAACATAGTAAAATTAAATAACTGTACATTAATTATTTTTATAAACACAATAATAATTATTAATTTTATATTCTACAGTAACAAATATAATAATAAATATATTAAGATGTCATTGAACGATAATAATATATTACTAATATAGTAAAATTAAATTAACTGGACATTAATTATTATTATATAAAACAATAATAATTATTAATTATATATTCTATAATAACGAACACAATAATAAACATATTAAGATGTAATTGAACAATAATAATACATTACCTATATAGTAAAGTTTTAACTTGACTGAACATCAATTATTATTGTAAACACAATAATCAACATATTAACATACTAACGAACAACATTAATACATTATCAATATAAAGTTAACTCTATCTCATAGATTATTATACACAAAATAATAATAAACAAACAATAATAACAAACAAACAAATAATAATACATTAACGATATAATAAAGTTAATTTGATTGAACATCAAGTGTTGTTATAAATATAACAATTATTATTAATTATATATTCTATAATAATGAATATATTCTAAATAATAATAATAATAATATACATATACATACATATACATATATATATATATATATATATATATATAAAATTAAATATTAGATTGATAAGCTTAAATAATAATAAACTTTGGTTAACAAGGTGTCAATAATTATGAAAAGGTAGAATGAGTACTACCCTGACATAATCGTTTGTACGATTTAAAATTCTCATCCCTCTATGTTCCATAGGCAGAATCCAATTAAAATTTCAATCTATCGTCGACATCGTTCCCCGAACGAGAGAGATTGAGCTCTTTCGACGGGTGCTCAATTTTAGCGTTTTATTTACCAACGGTTTAGAGAGGGCGGACTAAAATCAGCGTCGTCTACGTGCGACCGTTCGCCCGATCAATTTGAGAGCCATTTCGTTGTAATACGCTACTGCCGCCGTTTTATCGCCACGAAAGAGCCGAACGATTATCGGTGATCCAAGAAATGTGAGATTGAACTCGATGCCGTACTACTACGTTTTTCCTTTTTTGTTTGTTTTTTATTTTTTTATTTTTTCGTTTTCTGGCGGTCTTTTTATTTTATTCTTTTTTTTTCTTTTTTTAGATTTTTACGTTTCTATTTCGTTCGCATATTTTCTCTTTCACATCGTTTTTCTCTTTTTTCTTTTCTTCTTTTTCTATGATATCCAATCAAAATCAACGTTCATCATCAGTTTTGTTGATATACGTCGAAAAAAAGAAATATATTATCTGAAACGTATAACGAGTCTGTGGCATTTGTACTTGTATTTTAATTCTATCATTATTTACTTCGTTATAATTATTTCTTACAAATTTGATGGGCCTATGATGCACGTACATACATTTATCCCTTTTTTTCTATGGACGTATCGTTATGTCAGAATGATTTTGTATTATTGATTATGCGCGATTATTGTCACATGTTCGTTCTCCATAATGGATTTGTTCACAGCACCAAAAATCTTATCTTTAAAACATAGAGAATATATTGTTTGCACGCAATGGTATTGGATTTCTATAAACTGTTCTATCTTTCAACAGATTGAATGACGTGACGTTTTAAGCTCACAGTTTTTATTTAAAATGTTTTTAATATTTCTATTAGTAACATTTAGAGAATTAAAAGTATAGTTTCTGATAAGGATGAAGTCTAATGTAAAATGTATAACAATGAATTTCCTTGTTTTTTTTTCTCTTTTATTTATAATGTAAAAAAAAAGTTACAGGAAAATATTGTGTTAAACCATAAGTAATGTTGGAATTTTCCATAAAATATACCACTGTTTCTTAATGTTGTTTATTTAGATGTAAAATACTGGTTACTATAAAATTTTATTTAAGAATATTAATTATCTCATTAGTATAATACTTTAACAATATAATTTATATAACATTTTGTAATAAAATGATATATATATATATATATATATATATATATGTATGTTTATTAATATAATTTAATACATTGCATATATATATATATATATATATATATATATATATATATATACATACAAGTAATCTGTATTTTATATCTAAAGTTTTTATTACAAGATATTAATGATATAATTTATATAATATTTTGTAATAAAATTATAAAAATATATAAAATACTAATTAACTGTATAATATTATAAATAGTAATATTATAATATTAATATTATGTTTAATATTTAAATTGACGAATAAGTAATATTGTAATTCTTAATAAAAAATATTAATTATAAACAATTAGTTAACAAAAGTATTATTTATATAGATTAAAAAACACTAGAAAGTTTGATATTATTTATTTATTAGCCAATACAATCTTGTACTATTTTATATATAAATGTATGTATGTATGTAATAATATATATATATATATTAATAATAAATGTATGTATGTAATAATATATATATATATATTAATAATAAATGTATGTATGTAATAATATATATATAATAAATATATATATATATATAATAAATATATATATATAATAAATATATATATATAATAAATATATATATATATATATATATATATATATATATATATATACTAATTATTGAACATTTCGACATTATTATCAAGATTAATAAATATATTATTACATTACATATTATATATTAAATATATACATAGATTATTAATGATAAATTAATTTGATGATTAAGTGGTTATCAATAATTTCTATATCTATAAGCGATTTACTTTTTTTGTCGATGAACATTTATCGTCAGAAAACATTTATCACAATTTGCATTAAAAAAAAGGTCCGATTATTTGAATCATTTAAGATCAAAGGAAACTTTTAAGGAAATCATTATTTAAGTTTTCTCTCTGTTCGAACTTCGACGGCTTCTTTTTTAATTGCTCCCATTAACGAGTCCTTCCTTTCTCCTTAACGAAAGTGCGCGCTCTTCCATCATTATAGGTATAATATACGGTACCCCTTTTTCTTTCTTTTTTCGTGCAGATACACATACACGTTTGCGCATAATTATATGAAACGCGTCGACTGTTGCATAAACGTAATGAGGGTTGAATTCCAAAAAAAAGTTAAAACGTTCGAGTGGACACACACACACACATACTTTAATGTTGGGCTCGAACTCTCGATGAGAGAATTTCACAAATGTGCCAGCATTTTGATTGACGTCACGATGAAACTCGAAAATGTCATTAAATGAACGAAAAACAGGAAGGACATTTGTTATACGCTAAGTTGTTGATTGTTGTTTCTTTCCTTCTCTCTCGCTTTTTTTCATTCTCTCTTTTTCTTGTTTTTTTTTTTTTTTTTTTAAGTTAACGCTAACACAGATCGTTTTGTATAGCGATCAGTTTTATTATTCCATCCCTAGGAATCGATATATATCTCCATGTTGGAGACAATAGCAAGCGAGAAACGACACGTCGTGGACGTCATTAGCACGATCATCGAAAGTGACGTAAATCTAGCACGAAAGGAAACTAAGAGAAATAAATAAGGTGCGGGGGGGGGTGGGAGGGAAAGAGGAAGGTAAGGGGACAAAAGAATCTCGTTCGGTAGGATTACAAGAACACGCGGCTTGTTCTTTCATTATGATTGTGTCATCGGACAAGAAAAAAAGAGAGAGGGAGAGAGAGAGAGAGAGAGAGAGAGAGAGAGAGAGAGAGAGAGAGAGAAAGAGAAAAAGAGAGAGAGAGAAAGAAAGAGAGAGAGAGAGATCAGATTGTTAAATGAGATTTACTGATATTTGTTGTTTACTGATACGCAGACAACAAATCATTATTACTATCGTTATTGTTTCAACAGATTTTTTCATTTTACTCGTACTCTGTTTGTTTGTTTTTTATTTATTTTTTTTTTGTTCAACAAATTCCCGTTTGATAACAAATTAAATTCTTGTCGCTTTGTTAAAAAAAAAATGAAGGGATAGTTTGTGCTTGTTACTGGAATTTCGTACGACGAAATAATTATACGATAACTTGGTATACTTACATATTTAATGAAAACTCGTTTCCTATCACGTGCTGACTTCCAGTTGTTGTGCATGAAATTCCTATGATGTCTACGACGATGGAGAAACGGTCGTATACTTTCCAGGCGCACGCAAGAATTATATTTACGTAGGCGAGCTTGCCATTCTCTACTACTACTACTACTACTACTATTACTACTACGACTACTGCTATTACTGTTACTGCTAGTACTACTACTACTACTATTATTATTACCATTACTACTACTACTATTAGTATTATTCCAAACAATTTCTCCTTGTCCCGTGAATGACATTGATAACACTCATGGCATTGATAACACTATTCATTATTAGTTAGATTATTATTTCTGAAAATAAATAAAAATAAAAAGATTAAAAAGTTCGTATTAACTTCATAGTATTTCAAAATATTGTTAAATATAACATGTTCAATATGTCTGTTACGTTATATATTTTTTTGTTTCTTCTTTTTTTTTTTGTACATTTACAGTGGGCGTGCGGGGGTGACTGGAGTGATGGGATGGGGCCAGAGCCCCATGGAGTTCGGGTAGACCCGTCTCCGGCCCAGCTCCCCAGCCCCCTCCGCCATAAATATCGCCACTGCTCCTGCCAACGACGCAGAGGGCCACCACGATCGCGATGGAGGCCTCTAGTAATCAACAACAACAACAAAAAGAGAAGGAGTCACGTGTTCACAGGCCTTATGCCTTCGATAAGGTGTGTACTTTTTTATACTCATTAATCAAATGCAAACGAATTAACGCTAACATCTAATAAGCTTTCGTTTCGTGACACTTACTCTTTTTTTTTCATCGTCGTATAAACATAAGTATTGTACTTGTTTTTCGATTATGAAGCACGAAATGCAGGAAGATTTTCTTTTTTTTCTTTTTATAAAAAGTTGATTGTAAAAGGAAAAGAAAGAAAAATAGATTGATCAAGCCGATAACTCAATAGATGGAGGGGCTGGTGCGGGAGATGCAAGACTCTCAAAACGGGGTACCCGTGCGCAGCCAAAAACAATTTCTCACCTCGATCCCCTCAGCGTTCATGGGTGAGTGCCATCGATACCTGCGTTGTGGCATAAACGTAAGCGGCCATCACGGCCAGGAGAGTACAGTAGACTGCCTGCGTGTTGCAGGTTACGACCTCGTCGAGTGGCTTATGGATCGGCTTTCCATCGAGGAATCAGGTACGAATGTCTTTGGACCGTTCAAATGTGGATGTGTATGCAGATTATCCTGATGTCTCGAAGGGTGTCCTGCGACTCTCAAACTCGTTCCAAAGCTAATTAATTGCTTCGATTTCATTCCATATTTACTATTCTTATTATTATTATTAATATTATCATTATTATTATTATTATTATTATTATTATTATTATTATTATTATTATTATTATTATTATTATTATTATTATTATTATTATTATTATTATTATTTATTCTTTTTTGTTTCTTTTTTCAAATTTTAAATTGAATCGGTAAACCCTCACAAATTTGTCTTTGTTTTATATATATATATATATATATATATAAAAGAAATTTAAAGTGAACGATATAAAAATAATTTTATTTGTTGATAAGTAATTGCAAATTAATGCTTTACATCCGTCTAATGTCTTACATTTGTCTGTTTAACTTCGCTTACTTGCTTATAGAATCCTTTCAATGTGAATTCCTGAATGAAATGCTTCCCTCCCCTCTCCTCTGCGAAGCAAGCTCGTTTCTGTTCCTTTTTTTTTTTTTTATTTCTTTTTACTCTTTTTTGTTTTTTTTTTTCCTACAAAGTATAAAACTGAGAAAAGTATAATAAAACGAATAGAGTTACTTTAGAACGAGAAAACACGCTTCAAACGCGGCATGAATTCCTCATAGATATACGTATATACGCTTTGAAAATGATTGCCAGTGCAGTATGAGAGAATTCCATCCTATGCATATAACATATTACTTACGTCCACTATGTAATGTAGAAACGTCTCATGTTGCGTAAGCGTTGCACGTAACTAGCTGAAGTTTGTAGTATGCCGAGTTTAAGTCATTTTCTCAGGTATGAAAGTGCATTGTTATGTTGACAGTAGAGGCGCTCCATATTGCTAATCAACTATGCCTGTACGGCTACTTCTTCCCGGTGAACGACTCCAAGATGCTTACTGTAAAGGATGATAGCTCGCTATATAGATTTCAGGTATATTTGCGATACAATTCAGTATTAAAAAAAAGAAATTGCAAAAAATAATTTGAGGAAAATAAAACGATTGAAAAAAAAAAATAAATAAAGAAGACGACGATTACCTGATTGGTTAATCGGTCTAACGAGTTTTTTTTTTCCTTTTTTTTTCTTTTTTTGTTTTTGGTCTCTTCATTTTTCAAAAACCATCTCACAGTCACCGTATTATTGGCCGTGGCAACATAGAACCCCTGACAACGTGGAATACGCTATTTATCTTGCTAAACGAACATTACGGAACAAACAACGCCATGCTCTTGAAGATTACGAGATCGTACGTAAAATTTTATCATCGAATCGTATCCATTTTGTTCTTCTTTATTCAAAATTTTGTTACGTCTCTCTTTCTCTTTCTTTCTCTTTCTCTCTCTCCTTCTCTCTTTCTCTTTCTCTCTCTCTCTCTCTCTCTCTTTCTCTCTCTCTCTCTTTCTATGTAGGAAGCTTTAAACAGTCTACGGAAGAACCTGCAAAATAAATGGGATATCATACAACTACAGGCTGAAGAACAGGTGAATAAACTATACGGTTAAAAAAGAAAAAAAGCAAAGAAGAAAAGAAAAGAAGAAAAAAAAAATATTTTCTTTTTCCTTTTTCTTTCTTTTTTCTTTTTTTTCTTTTTTTTCAATTGAAAAGATAGATACTCTAAATATTGATATCTTTTACTTGGAAAATACGATGGAGTCTGTATTATTCGAGAATCGATCGAACATATTATACTTTCAAATATTCGTAGTGTTCTCGATTGAAGCTTTGAAAATGAAATGATTTTTGTCGGGCTCAATAAAATTTTTTCAATTACCATGTAAAGTTTAACAATAGGAGGGACCATCATTCGATTGATATATTTACTTGACTCAGGAATTTGTTAAATGTTAAAAGTAATTAGATTTCTATATAAATATAAGTATAATACAGGTTCTAAATAGAGTATCGCTTTATGCAAAGAAGCATCTGACTCCTTGAAATGGTGGTAAATTTGTGGCCTCAGGTACGATTAGCTAAAGACCGGAAGAAGGGGGATAAGATAGTAAGCGATTCACAGGAAAGAGCATTTTGGAGAGTTTACCGGCCACCGCCGGGTTGTCTTAGTAGTCTTGAAGTAGTTCCAGGACCAACACGTTTTCGTCCAGGATTTCCACGGCCTCCACCACGTAAACGCACCGTCGCTGAGTTACAACGAGAGGTGATAATAATAATATATTAATATATATATATATTTTTTTTATTAATAATTTCTTACTACTAATAAAAAGAAACAATTTGTATTAAATAAGATTCTTCTTTTTTTTTTTTTAATACCTCTTTAACAACGATTTTGGTTATTGTATATGAAATAATCGATATATAATTTCTTAGCAAATTATTTAATATTTTTAAAAATTTATTAATTGCATCGAGCGGTTATATCTCGCGAAATAAGAAAAAAAAGAAGGAAAAAATGTATAAATTTAAGATTTATCAATTTTTAATTAACAATAAGAGAAAGGTTCTATGATTATATATTGCATTTAATATATCACTAATGAATTGGTAATTTTTTCCTCATATTAACGTTATTCCTCACATAGGTGGACTTTCTTCGAAGCAGTTTAACACGCACGAGAATAAAGGTTTCAGCTGCTATAGAAAATTTGAAGTCGTACTTTGAAACTTATGTGGAATACGACCCAATGTTCGTACATCCGCAACCTTCCAATCCTTGGATCACCGATGACAGTACATTCTGGCAGTTGAATAATCCACTGTTAGTAAACGGATTATTATTTTTTTTTTATCGAACGTTATATTTGATAACACGATTACAATTTTTTTTTACGTTTAAACAAAATAACAAAGAAAATTAATCGATCGTTAATTAAACGTTTCTTCAGAGTGGAAATTCCTACGGAAAAACGTGTAAAACGATGGGCATTATCGATGGAAGAACTCATGTCTGATCCAACAGGTGACGAATCTTCCTGATCGCCATATGATAATGGCGATTTATTATCTCGTATAAATATATGTCAAAAATGATAATACATATGTTTTCTTTTTCTTTTCGGCATTTCTCAGGCTTGCTAGAATTCACGAATTACCTGAGAAAAGAATACAGTCATGAGAATATTCGATTTTGGGTGGCCGTTAAAGATTTGAGACACAGTTATCAAGCTCAAATAACGGAAAAGGTCAACGAAATTTTCAAGTACGTTCGTTACACTATCATTACATATATAAAAATCAAAATCTAAGTTCTATAATAAATTTAATATGTTTATGAAAGATGTGAAAAATTGCCTGAAGAAAAAAATTGATTAGTTTTTTCTTTTCTTTTTTAATAATAAAATGTCATTCATCATTCTGTCTAAGAGAGGACGCGAGATAAAGGAGGAGGAAAGAAAAAAAGAAAAGAAAAAAAAAAGATCGATTTGTACCAGATAAGTACGAATGTTCTTCTTGTATTTGTTATAACAGAGAATTCCTGGCGCCGGGTGCTCCTTGCGAGATCAACATCGATGGAAAGACAATGGAAAAGGTCCATCAAGAAATGAAAAATCCCAGCAGATTTACCTTCGATTCAGCTGCCGAGCACGTATATACTCTACTTTTGAAGAAGGATTGCTACCCCAGATTTATTCGCTCGGATCAATATCGAAATCTTTTAGCAGCCGGCATACAGCCACTGCAAAAGAAAAGGTGCAATATTTTTTTTCTTCTTTTTCTTTGTTTTTTCTTTCTCTCTTTTCTTTTTTCTTTTTTTTTTTTTTTTTGTTATTTTAAGTGAAGAAATTGAAATAGCAATTTGAAGAGTTCACGTCTCGGTTGGACGAGTTTGTTGATTGTAAGGAATACGAACGTATCTATCTAAACTATAGAACCGTTGTTTTCACAGATTTTTCAGCTTCGGTGGTCAAGCAAAAAAGAAAATGGCGTCTAGCGTGAGTACAACGACGAGCACGTTGCAACAACAACAACAGCACGGTGGCAATATTGGAACCAGTGGAGGTGGTGGTGGTACTGGTGGTGGTGGTACTAGAAGAAGAGGAAGCGATCGAAGCATCTCGGGATCAGCTCACGAGCTTGCCGTTTGTGGAGTACGTGAAATAAGTTCTACGCCAAGAGTGTCGCATTCTCATAGCCAATCAAATCTCACCGATATTCCATACAGGTACGGCGGACACGTTCGTATAATGATTATTTCAAAATGATATCCTTCATATTATTCAAAGAAATCTTCCTGATAACTCTGAAGAACACACGAATAGCTGGATTTTTTCTTTTTTTTTGTTTGTTTCTTTTTTATTTATTTATTTTGTTTTAATTATTTATCATTTCTTCTTATTCGTTTTCTCTTTAACATTAGAACCAATTTTATGAATCATTAAGATATTGTTAATGATTAAATATATACGAATAATAATAATAATAATAATAATAATAATAATAATAATAATAATAATAATAATAATAATAATAATAATAATAATAATAATAATAATAATAATAATAATAATAATAATAATAATAATAATAATAATAATAATAATAATAATAATAATAATTACTTGTAATAAATAATATGCAGCATACATGCACAATTACTATTTTATTAATATATATGTATATATTTATATATATATTATTAATATATATGTATATTTTTTGGTTTGGTGGACATTTTCAAAATCAATTTTAGTTCTTCAAATCGAAACTTATAAATTTTGTAAGGGCATCTTATTTTTAGAAAAAAAAAAGGAACAACTTTTATTGGAAACATTCTTTTATCTAGTCTTTACTTTCTATGATATTTAACATTGTTTAATCCAAAAATTTACATTATTTTAAATAACAAGATAATCTGCGTAAACAATGAGAATTTAAAGCAACACGAACATTTTTGAATATTTTCTAAAATAATATTTTTTTTTATAAGATCACTATATTTCTATCTGCTCTAAGTTCCTTTTTTGTCTGAACAATGTTAAATATTGTAAAAATTTAAATTGCATAAATTATAAATTTTTATATAAATAAGAAAATAAAAAAATATCTCGAGATGATCTTGAAACGATCTTAGAAATGTTCACCGAATCAGAAAGAAACAAACGCCATTACAATTAGCATAATCAAAATGAAGCAACTTTTCTTTTTTAACTTTTTTTTCTAAATGCTTTGTTTTCGACACATGTATCTTTTTTAGACGTTTCAATTTAAAAGAACTCTTTATTGGTATAATCTCAATATCTTATAATTTCATTATATAATAAATACAATTTTATTATTATTATTATTATTGTTATTATTACAAATATAACAATATCAAAATGACGTACGGTCCTAATGTTAAAAAGAGGGAGAGAGAGAGAGATAGAGAGAGAGGGAGAGGGAGGGAGGTAGAGAAAGAGAGAGAGAGAGAGAGAGAGAGAGAGAAAGAAAGAAAAAAAATGAAGAAAAAAAATCGGGATCAATCTTTTAATACAACATTTAATGTTTCTTTAATTCTCGTATCATCGTGCGTTGTGTCCATTTCACAGAAACCCTTCCAAATCCTCGTACACTTGGGCTAAACCAATAAACTCCATAACTTAAGCGTGCACATTTTCTTTCCTTATCGACTATATGTATCAACTGCGTGGCTTGAAAAAGTCCCGAAATAATCTCGGTGATCGCGTTCGAAGTACGTTATTGTTGAGCAGTCACGAAGAAAAAAGAACATAGGATAGCTTTTATCGGTGCGGTATTTTCAGGGGTGATCTGGCGCGACTCCTAAAGATCCCTACGAGGCCTAGTCCACATAGTATTCAGTAAGTCCCCAGAACGTACATAGAATACGTGGAAAATCAATCAGTCAATCCATTTGTCACGTCATTGTTTTTAATCACGACCTTTTTTCTTCTTCTTCTTCTTCTTCTTCTATTTTCTTTTTTATTCTTTTCTTTTTTTCTTACGAGTTATTCTCTTTTCCTCTTCACTTGTTATATGAAACAAACTATCAAGGAAGGGGATGATTTTGGAATAATTAATGATGTATTTATATTTTTATAAAAATAAAAGTGAATAATAATATCATTCTTACAATCGTAAAAAAAAAAAAAAATACATATACATATGTACATACGTACATACGTATATAATACGTATATAATATACGTAGATAAAAAATAAAAAGAAAAATAATGTATTCCTCTTATTATTGTGCTCTTCAGTGTTTTCTTTTTTTTTTAACATATATCTTCGTACTTCTATACTTCTCTTTAAAATCTCATTTGCGTGCACGTACATACATATATACATGCATATGTACATACATACAACATACATACGTACATATGTGTGAATCCAATATTGCGTAATCCCGAAAAAACCTATGTGAAGCTTAACGTGAGTGTTAAAGAATGATTATATTTATATTTTATCATTGTATTCTGAATCTTTTTTCTTATGTCTATAAAAAGTTGTTTGGTATTTTAGTTGTATCGTTATTTAATATTGATGTATGCTTTTACAAAGCTTCTCTTATTATGTGTATACTAATTATTATGTATCTTTTTCATTGCTAATAATACTCCTTCCCCGACCCATTCCCACTACTGGATTCCATTGAAACAGACTTTAATTGTACGGTTATTTACGAAGAAAAATATCTGTTATTAAAGATCATATTGATTGATCTGTTATTAAAAATTATTATAGATCATATTGTCTTCTTATATAAATTTTGATAAGAACTTGATAAGAAACTTATACTTTTTTTTCCTATTATCTCGAGTGTCATCGAGATAATATATGCGTATGATTACAAATCGATAATTCACCATGAATGCAGATATTTGCACGAGTAACCGCACGTGTCTATTCCTCTTTCTCTCTCTCTCTCTCTTTATATGTATATATATATATATATATATATATATATATATATATATATATATATACAAAGAGAGAGAGAGAGAGAGAGAAAGAGAAATAAATAATATATATGTACATATATATATGTGTGTGTATAATATATTTCGATAAATTGGCAAGCGTCGATAATTGTCTAATTAATTATTATGTCATTGTTAAGTCGAAATATTCTCTACGTATAATATTACATTATATTCTGTGTATGCCTGCAAACAAGCACGTCAATTGGATTTACCTTTGATCTAAATTTTTCGTTGTGCCTCGTTTAACGTTGATGAATTTCACCCTCGCAATCTAGCCGCTCTCCCAACCCCATTATCCGTCAAAACAAATACACATCAATTAATATTTAAATTGATAACCCATCGAATCTCAAGATCGACCCTTTCAAATTTTATTATATATATATATATTTTATTATATATATATATATATATATATATATATATATATATATATATAAATCTGCTACATTTCGAATTTCTCGCCTAATTTACGAAGCCGCATGTATGTACATATATATATAATACGTACTTAAGATAAACGTTAGAATTATTAAATATTTCACAAAGATCTATACTTCTGTCCTTTCCTTTTTTCTTTCTTATTCTAAAATATTATAGATTTATTTATGTCAAATTGTGACATTAATATTATAGATTTGAGAAAGATTACGATCGATTATTATATATAAATAACTAATAATTGTTTATCCTACATACGTACGTACATACATATATATATATATATACATACATTTTATATATATATATGTATATATATATATAATTATCATTAATGAAAATATTATTGCTTGGTGATTGGAGAGAAACAAAAGACGAGAAAAGTAAAGTAAAAAGAATGAAAGAAAAAAAGAAAAAAAGAGAAAAAGAAAAAAGATAATCGCGAGGTATCGTTGGCGAGATAAAAAGTGGAGACTAAAGCATATGTAATAAAGTTCGTGTTGTCAGGGATGCTGGCGCCACGGAGGCGACAGTTCGCCCTATGGACGACGTTTGCCCTTGGGACGCGATCCCAGGGCCAAGTACAGATGCCGGCCAGGATGCAGCACCGTTTGGAACGAGCCCGTGGCCTGACACGTCTACGGATCCCTGGGAATACGGGAACGACGTAACCAAAACGTCGATACATTTCATCGACGTGGCTCGTCCATCTCGAAAGAATTCCTCTCAGCTCGACTCCTGCAGTTCCTCTTCCGATGTCAGTCTGGCTATTGCGGAGGTCTCCGACAGGTTGAGAAAGTCCTGCAGCCTTCAGCACAGTTCTGTCCCGACTGCTATGATGGAACGGCATGGTATTGGTTCTGGATCGGGCGGACATACCATCACCAGAAATTATTCCACTGGCTCGACCAGCAACAGAGTTAAACTCTCGGATATAGGTGAGTTTAAATCTATATTTCATTAGTTCTTTGTTCTTTTTTTTTTATAGTTCTACAGTTCTTAATTAAATATGATGAGCTAAAATTGTTATCTATCAATTAATAAAAAATTATTATTTTTTTATACATAAATTATATATAAATAATTAACCCTCTGTAACTGAAATCTTTGTTATGTTTACAAAAAAGAAATAATATAATATGAAAATTATAATATTATTTATATTATTATTATTGTAATTATAATATATATATAGTATTTATATTAGTATAACTTATATTCAAAAATTATTCAATACTTCTGATGTAAAATTACAATTCATTTTGTGGGAATACAATGAATCAAACTTAAAAATCTATATGCAATAATTATTATAGTATATTATTTATATTAGTATAATTATACTGTACTAATTATAATTTATACTTAAAAAAGCATGATTAATTTCTGATATGAAGTAACAATTCATTACGTACCGATACAATGAAATAAAACTTAAAAAATACAAATACATGTATAAGTGTATAATTTCAAAGTTACATAATATTACAAATGGTTAAAAAGAAAAACAAATTTTTTTATTCCATGGACTAATTATATTATTCAATAGAAATTAATTCCAATTAGTATGTTCTAAGAGAAATATTATCACAAAGGTTTCAACTTTAGGATTATTTCAATGATTAGATGTCTCTGAACTTATACCATCGATACATCATTAGTCAGATTACATTTAAATTAGTTCAGAGATTATTTAAAGTTTACAAATCAGTACAATTATAAAGGTTTCCTTTCTCCAATATCAATTTAATTGTGATAGATTAGTATAGGTCGTATACACATTTTTGTCATTATTTCAATGTTTAGAGATGTTTCTGAACTTATACGGGTACATCATTAGTTGAATTACATTTAAATTAGTTCAGAAAAATTTCTGAAAGTTTACAAATGATTATAATTTTGAAGGTCCCTTTTCTCTGTTATCAAATTTAATTGGTATTAGTAAAGATTGTACATACGTTTTCTTCATTATTTCAATAATCAGATGTTTCTAAACTTATACTTTGGATATGTCATTAGTCGAATTACAATTAAATTAGTTCAGAGAAATTATCGAAAGTTTACAAATGATTATAACGTTGAAGTTTCTTATCTACGTTATCAAATTATTATAAATTAATGAATTGTTATTAATTATTATAAATTAGTACAGATTGTAGAAACGTTTTTGTCATAACAGGTCGCCCATTGGTCACCTCGTGCAACTTACCGTCGCCTCTAGAATCATTCGAATATAGTCACGCAGCTGGCGAGAAGTTCGAGGCGATAATTTGTCAAACAACGATCGAAGAACCAGAAACATCAACGACGTTAGATACAACGCAACAAATGGATAAAGTTGTTACAATAGAAGAAACGAAAAAAACTCTGAGAAGGTCATCAGCGAAAGCACCATTGATAAGTATCAGTGCGATCGTCGGCGACTTGCCAAGTGATTTTGAGGTGGTTGGAACAACAACTGGCGACGACATTTGTCCGCCAACAAGAGAAACTAAAATGGAAATTGAACTGTTCGAAGATAAAAACGTAGAAGAAACAGAACCAGAAAGGGTACAGGAAAAAGAAAAGGAAGAAAAAGATGAGATAAAAGAAGAAGAAGAAGAAGAAGAAGCAAAAGGAAAAGAAGAAGAAGAAAGAGAAGAAGATGAAGAAAGAGGAGGAGAAGAAGAGCCGTTGGAAAAGGAAGATGACAAAATAACGAAGGAAGCTTGTATCGAAACACAAAAGAATGAATCTACTGAAGAGGCTCAGGTTGTCCCTGTTTGGGAGCCGGACACCCAACAGGAAGACCAAATGGCACCAACGGCCATTGCAACCACCAGTACCGTGCCCACTCGGGATAAGCGTGACAATAATGTTAACGAAGTGTGCCCGTGGGAGGATGAGTAAGTAACATTAACCTTAGCCTTATTTACCTTGCTTTTTCTTACCGATAAAATTTCCACATTTTTATCCAACCTCGATCATATTGAACAAGTATTGGAACACAATAGTGTTCCATATAAATAAATATGACGAACTCCTTTGAATCTTGTTCCATTCTTCCTTAACTCTTTCACCTCACCTTTCGCCTCACCGACATACATGTCTCTCTGATATCTTTCTCTCTTTCTCTCTTTCTTACTCTTCTTTCTTCTTTCTTCTTCTTTTTTTTTTTCCTTGTGTTCTCGCATTTTTTCTGCACCCCTTTGTAGGTATAATTTCTCGTAGAGGCGTAGAATCGAAGACTCCGAAATGGAAGATGAGACGCGTTATAGTTGAAGGTAGGACGATTTTTATTCACGTTTCTATAATTTTGTGATGTTATTTTATACTTTTCTTTCGTTTCTATTGTTCTTTTCTTTTTATCTCGTTTAAGATTTTAATTCTTACACCGAACCATTTGTTCCATATTTTTTTCTTTTTTCTTTCTTTTTCGGTTTTTATTTATTATTTTTTTTTCTTTCTTTTTCTTTTTTTTCCTTCTTTTTTGTTTTGTTCTCTTTTTGTTTTGTTTTGTTTTATTTGATTTGTTATTATCATTGTCGGTAATTCACCGAGCTGGTTGACTTCTATCATCGTTTCCACGAACGTAATTGGGCTCTGTCCGAGAATGCTTTTTGTACTAAGGTTAACCGTCTGTTTCAGGGAGAACTGTAGAGTGGATACGACCTATGTAAAAACGTATGCGACATTAGGTTATTTATAACTTGGTGTTAACGCTCTATGATATTGCATTTTACACTTAAAACACCCATTCGTAAATTTCGATTACCATTATTCTCAAACTAATCCGATGATCTCGAGTGCATGAGCTATCGTGGGTTTTACGATTTAACTGTGTCATTTTTAAAATCGTATTGGTGTTGTTGATTGAAAGTGAACAGAGAAAAAGTTTAAGATCGATTAATAATCGATGAGTGCACCGTCGATAATGAAGATTCGTGATCTTCTTAATATGTATACAAGAATATAAAATTATGCTCGATCTACGAATATATAAATACGACTGATATGAACGATCATTAAGAAATATTTCTTTTCCTTTATGGATTTAAAGATATAAAATACAAAATGATCTATGGCCTAAAAAAAATTTTCTTTATCTATACCAACATTTGTCGACTGAGCCATTACGGCCATTTATTATCGCCATTTTTTTTTCTTTTCTTTCTTAATATAAGATGAGATGTGTTAATTAATTTTCATTTTTTTTGCTTTCTACTTAATGTTATTAAAACTATTTAATATTAACGAAAACGCGTTGTTATACATAAAGCGTATTAAAGTACATATCTAGATTATAATAAATATGTGGTAGTGGTGCGTAGTACAACCATATTTCTGTGTCGAATAAAAAAAAAAAAAAAGAAAAGAAAAGAAAAAATATTAATCGAAGATATTTACTACGATATCGTTCGTTAAGCGTTTAAAGTAAAATAATAGATGATATTTGAAAGAAAAAAAAAATAAAATTCCATATCGAAACTTATTCGATATTTAATATACCGAACAAATTTGATTTTAATTTTTGTCCATCATAAACATGACCTTTGGATGCCAGTCAATAATGAGCCCCTTGACTGCACGCAAAGATCATGAATTTTGTCATTAATTTATTATTAATTTATATAGATAAATTATATAATTTCAAAACTTTCCAAATAGCGATGCTAAAAATAAATCTTAATCTTTTTTACATTAAATATTATTTCGTTCGATCAATTTGATCCAACATAATTATATATGATCATTTCCTATCCGATTTTCTAATTTGTCGTTGAAATAAAAAAAAAAAAACAAAAGAAAGAAAAAAAGATCAAACAAAAAGCTAACGACGTCAACGTAAACGTATCTCTTATAATTCGTGTTAGAAATATTAACAAATGTTGCGCTGTTAAAGTCCTTCGATATTATTATATAACTAATAATCGTTTGTCCGCTGCTTAAGCGTCTAATTAAATATTATCGATACGTTAGTCCACTACTTGTTAGTTATAAATATACGATTAAAAAAAAAAAAAAAAAAACAGAAACAAAAAAAAAGAAAGAGAAGAAAATATCCTTCCAGCCCACCCACCCCCAAAAAGAAAAAAGAAAAAAGAAAATAAAGAAACAAACAAAAAAGGAGTGAGAGAGAGAGAGGGAGAGAGACAGAGAAAAAAAAAGAAGAAAACTAATGCATTGCGATTCCAATTAAAACTTGGTTAAAATTGATCGTCGAAGGAATGATTACACTTGTAATAATTTAGAGCCTAATCGAGTTATCACGTTGAAACGTGCAATAACTTTTAATGATTTATAATATAATAATTCTCGATGAAATCACAGTTGATCGTATGATTGCTGGAACTGATACTGCCCCAGAGCCAGGAGTCTGCGATATTAGATTATAATGATTTAAACTTAATCATATGACACGAACATCCACGCACGCACAAATACACATGTGCATATATATATATATATGTATATAAATATGCATGTGTATGAACGCATGTGTGCGTGTATGTGTGTGTATATATACACTTTATACATCTTTCTCTCTATTTTTCTCGTAACTGTGAATCGAAGTGAAAGCCTAGTAAATGTAACGTCGATGTTTCGTTTTCTCACGTGTATAATTCTTAAAAACGAAATAATTATATATAATGATGATATACATACATACACACATATATATACATATATATATATATGTATGTATGTATATGTATATGTATATATAAATATATAACGTTGTGTCTGTGTCAAGATAAAAATTAACGAAAAGTTCATTAGAACGAAATAGGCGAGCTACCATAAGAACAATGTAAAATCGATGATTTATTTACTTATTTATTTATTTTTTTTTTCTTTTTTAAATATCTTTCTTTAATACTTCACGATAATATTTCTGTTTTTCTATTCGTAACTCGATCGTTCTGATTCGGTCGTTGATTATCGAAATTACATGTCGGCTAATGTAAATGATGAGAAATAATATATATGATGATTCGATGATAGATAAACGATTTTGATTGTTATCAGAAATAAATCTGATATTTTTATTGGAGACTTTCGATAGTTTATGCACTTGAGATCCATTATACATACATACATACATGCATATATGAGATATAATGAGATTTAAAATAAATAATTCTGAAGAATGCACTGTTAATTCGCAAAGTCAAGGTTAAGTCTTGTAACAATTCTTACTATAGATAACAATCAATAAGATGACAACAAACCTGACACACGAGGAGAAAAAAAGAAATAAAATGAAAGAAATAAGAAAAAAAAAGAAATAAAAATAATAGTAATAATAGTAATATTAATAATAATAATAATAATAATGATGATGATGATGATGATGATGATGATGATGATGATGATGATGATGATGATAATGATAATAATAATAATAATAATTATTAACAAGTTAATTCTCTTTAATAATTGAATATAAATAATATTATTACTTATCACACATTGAAAAACGATGAATAAGAAATTTTTGATGATTATAGAATATGGTATGTTAATAAACTAATCGCCGATGATTGCGCCAGTAGAAATACAATTTTCTGTAACGATAAAAAAAGAACACGATTAGAAATGAAATATGATATTAAATCGTAAACACATATAAATCTATAGCGCCGATATCGTTTACGTTAAATTACAATAATACAGAAAAAGGAAGAAGTAAAGAAATCAAAAAAATAAATAAAAATAAAAAAAAAAAATAATAAAAAAGGTTCATTTCAATAGCGACGAAAGATTTCTTTTTCTGTAAATATTACAACGGCACTATTGCATTCTTTCACCTATGACCGATCTATAATAAAGATTTTGACGAATACATTCGTTGTAAGCGAGAGATCTCGTTTTAAAAAGTAAAAAAAAAGATAAGAAGAAAAAGGAAAAAGAAAAGAAAAGAAAAGCAATAACCATTAGAATCGGGGTACACTCAAGTTCGATTAAGTTTCGTGTCTTTGATATCGTACTTTAATTAATTTATCGTAACGAACATTTATCCACACGTTAATATGGTTTTATTTCAAGTTATAAAAAAGTTATAAAAAACTAAATAATGAATGAATAATGATCGATGAAAAATTACGATAGTACAATGGAACGTCGGTTTTGGTAATAAGAAATTAAAAAATTTGCGTTTTCAAAAGTAACTAGTAAAGCAAAAAAATTTTTAATCTAATGATAAAGTGAATATGTATGACGAATCGAAAAAATGTCCAATCACGAACTCTATTATAAATCCCACTATTATTATTATTACTATTATTGTTATTATTGTTATTATTATATTTTTTTATTTGTTATTATTATTAATTACATAATGATAATGATGATGATGATAATGATGATGATGATGATTATTATTATTATTATTATTATTATTATTATTATTATTATTATTATTATTATTATTATTATTTATTATTATAATTATAATTATTATTATTATTATTATTATTATTATTATTATTATTATTATTATTATTATTATTATTATTATTATTATTATTATTATTATTATTATTATTATTATTATTATTATTATTATTATTATTATTATTATTATTATTATTATTATTATTATTATTATTATTATTATTATTATTATTATTATTATTATTATTATTATTATTATTATTATTATTATTATTATTATTATTATTATTATTATTATTATTATTATTATTATTATTATTATTATTATTATTAATTACGAAACTTTAAAAAGATAGACAAGGAAAAAGATAAAGAAAACAAAAAAAGATAACAATTATAGACGATAAACTACCGATCGTTGAATTATCATCCTAATTAAATTGTAACTATAATTATTACTTTCTTCTAATAGACAAATTTGATTCTATTTAAACCAAAACTTAAAAGTAAAAGATCGTTCCTCGTTGAGTTGATTAATCAAAAAAAAAAAAAAAAAAAAAAAAAAGAAAAAAAAATTAATACTATAATATATCTAATCGTACTTCTTCTTTTTTATAATATTTACGATATATTACAAATTTAGGTTAGATCGAATTATATAATAGTAGATTTTTATCCGCTATTCAAACGTAAAAAATCCATATTGAAACGGGTAATCGTAAATTTTTTTCGAAAATTAAAAGAAATATTAATAACAGTACAAAATGAAACGCAAAGATTAACGACAGTGCTAACAAGAGAAATAAAGTGAAAAGAAAAGAAAGAAAGAAAGAAAGAAAAATAAAAGGATAAAGTTTCATAACTTCGATGCGATTGGTCGAGTGATTTTTAAATTTATTGGTCGATTATCGATGTCGTCGGCAAATCGTTTACGACGATTTAATTTCAAAATGCTACTAACATTTTTGAAAGATTATATATAATACATACTATATGTATATGTATATATATATGTGTGTGTGTGTGTGTGTGTGTGTGTATGTGTGTATGTGTGTGTATGTGTGTGTATGTGTATGTGTATATATACAGTAGAGGACCCAAGTATTCATACAGTACATGTATGAAAATACATTTTTACTGTAAGAATACTTAAATTCCAACACTGTATATTAATTAGTATACTATATTGTATTATGTGTTCGAAAGTATGATATATATATACTGTATAGTATATTATAGTATATTATAATATAGTACAATATATTATATAATTTATTATTATAAGAATTTAATAAGTATATATTATACTATAATATATATATATATACATATATAGTTATATATAGTATATATTATACTTAAAAAGTGTTAGTATATATATATATATATATATATATATATATATATATATTTATAGATAAAATTAATATTATTTTATAATTACACGTAAAAATATTCTGAAACAAACATCTGGCCACGAAAAAACTAATACATATGTATGTATATGTAAATACGTTATATCTACCCACGTAGTTTACGTTGGCACGACTATAGTTGTGTTGATTTGCATGAAGTTGGATTGTTTTGTTTGAAACAAGGGTTTGAAGTCATAAATAATCAAAACAGACGTCGTTTCCGAGAGAATGCGAAAAAAGATATATATATATAAAAATAACATCCAAGAACAAGAAACAATATGATTACCATATATTAAATTTTTATTATATAATATGCATATTATATTATTTACGATAGAGCTAATAAAAATATTAGAAACAATGTAAACGTTTTACAAATCGTTAAAAAAAGAAAAAAAAACAGAAAAAAAAAGAAAAGAAAATGATAATTGAGTCACTCGACCATTCAAATTCTAAGTACCAAACTAAGAAAAAGGAGAAAAGAAAAAAAAACAGAATAAATAGTTCGTATGGATTTGTGAACTGGCTTACGCGCCATCTAGTTTTTCATTGGTTCATTAAAATATTCGTTGGAAATTCTCATCGATCGGATTTAAATCTATTTTATTGGTAGTTTTCTACTATACCGACAAAAAAATATTTCACGACGTCAAACAATTTGATCATGTCGAAATATTTGGAGGAACCTTTGAAGAGAAAAGAAAAAAAAACGAATAATGCACGTGTAAATGGTACACTTAAGAGAAGGGAACTGTCGTATTAAAAAAAAAAAAAAAAAAAAAAGGAAGAATGAAACAGAGAAAAAGCACAACCGGTATCTACGATTCGATATAAGAGCAGAATCGAGAATCACGTTCACCTATTATTATCGGAAGACTGAAAACGTACCTGAGACAATTCAAATGAAAGCCGTGAGTTAAATGCAAAAGACCTGGTATTATTAGTCTACATATGAACGAAGCTTTAGAAAAAAAAACAACAAAAAAAAAACAAAGCTTGTCCTTCATCTAATATGTTACAACGAGAATTTATTATCGTCTCACTTTTTTTTATTTTTTTTTTTTTATGTTACTCGCTTCTCTTGCAACCGAACAAACTAAGCAAAATAAAAGAGAAAAAATGAAACGATATAAAATCGAAAGGAAGAGATAGAAAAAAAAAAGAAAGAAAAAGGAAAAGAAAACTAAAACTTACGATTTCGGGGACCGAAGAGTTCTTGAGAGTACCCTCGATCGATTCGCTACATCTTTATATAGATCAATACAGTAATGCTTAATCATTTCGATGCGTAAACGAAAATGTGATTTTTCGATTATTTAATGAAAATTTAGATTTGAAAAAAAAGTTTACTCTTATTATTATTATTATTATTATCATTATTATTATTATTATTATTATTATTATTATTATTATTATTATTAGTATTATTATTATTATTATTATTATTATTATTATTATTAGTATTATTATTATTATTATTATTATTATTATTATTATTATTACTATTATTATTATTATTAGTAGTAGTAGTAGTACTGTTATTATTATTGTCATTATTATTGTTATTATTATTAATATTATTATCAGTTACATTACCTTATAACGATATAAAATTCAAACTCCTTTAATGAAATAAATTCAAGAAATGCAAGCAATATTAATATTTGAAGAGTATCGGCTTGCTTGGAAATTGTAATTGACTATGACTGAAGTTATTTCGAATGTTATTTAATGAATAGAAAAGAAAGATATTTAGGGACGTACCAGGCGATGATAAAAGTAAATTTGAATTTACTTGATTCTTCGATCATACCCTTGCCGAGCCTCGTATATTTGTTGTATTTAGAGAGGCAGTGTCGTTTGTATACGTTTCTAATTTGTCTCTAATTGTAAAAACGTTTTTATTGTCTTGATAAAGTACTCAATCGGTTTGCAATTGAACGACAAATTTTCGAACCAATGTGGATTCGATGTTCCACAACGGGCGTACCATTTGATTGGACAGCAACTTCGATGCCATATTTTTTTTTCTTTTTTTTTTTTTTGATATCATTAGAGACAGTGCGTTGTTCGCATCGTATTTCACGTATTGTTAGAGACAGAAATATGTATAAAAAGAGAATGAATGAAATGAAAGAAAGAAAGAAAGAGGGGAAAATGAATATATAGTATCGTAAATGATTCATGGACGTTGAGTAGTCGATTAATAATTTTAGTATATAAAAAGAGAAAAGAAGAAAAAAAAGAAAAAAAAACTAAGGAGATCTTTATATATTATTCACCTCCTAAATATCACGCTAGTTGCCAAGTGCGTATGATACGATTTTATTTGGAGGCCGCGTTGATGTTATACACTTTTTGGTGATGACTTATTATTGATCGAAAAGACGAATGGAAATAAATAAAGGTAAAATAAATAAAGAAAAAAGAAATCGGGAAAAAAATAAAAGGCGAAAAGAAAGGAGAAATGTTACTAGTTAGTCGATAATAACGTTATAGACGATAAAAAGCTTTAGTGTACATAGTTTTTTAAAGTGTTAAAAAAACAAAAAGAAAAAAAAAGGAGAAAAAGAAAAAAGAAAGATAATATATTAAACAACCCTAGTGATCTCTATGAAAGATCCGACGATAAATATAATATAATCGAAAACATAAATATAAATACATACATACATACAAACATGCATACGTACATACGTACGTGTGGCCGCTGCTGTATACATCGCAAAAGAAAAATTTCTTCGATTAAAAGAAGACGAACAGCGAGATAAACTACTACTACTACTACGACGATGACGACGACGATGACCCAGAAGATACTTCGCACCCATATGATTATAGTGTTGATGAAAAGGCGTATTAAAAAAATAAAAGAAAGAGAAGAAAAAGAATTAAATAATGAATCGTTTCGTTAAACATAGTTGCATATTGTAAATTATGTATAAGAACGCAGATACGTTAATCGTTACATATAACATAATATAATATGTGATATATGCGTAATATTTTAAGCTGTCAATAGAACATGTCCTAACATTAAAATATTATAGTGCCATTATATCGATCGAGAAACAGATTTTCTTTTATATATATTTATATATATATATATGTATGAGCCGTTGATTTTGAAAGTGGAGCAAGTTCATTTTATGTTATTGGTAGAAAACATAAATAAGAAGGTAAATTTTATTAATTTGTAATAAGAACTAATTTTAATTATTTTTTTTCACCAAGATGGATTTGCTCCACTTTATATATATATAATAAATAAATATATATATATATATATATTTATATATATATATTTAACTAGTCCTTATATTTCCCTAAAAGTTAGACTAGATATACATACATATCATACATTCAAATTTATTTATTTCGTGTTTACAAAGAAGAAGAAGACAAAAAAAGGAAAAAAAGGTAAGAAGAAGAAGAATGATATGTCAGTCATATTTTTTTGTTATCTTCTCGTATACAATGGAAGGAACCATCGCAGGTTATTTGATTTTTTGAAATCCTTTAGATTCCTCTCTTCTGCGATTCCGTGAGTTTTTACTTACAATCTAATTAATCATTTATACATATAATAGGAAACATTCGTTGAACATGCAATCGATACGAAACACTCTTTGTAATCAAAAAAAAAAAAAAAGAGGACAAGCATACATGGACGGCGTGATATGAAAGACAACATTGATAATCTAATGGTTAATTAATTGAGTATTGCAATAGCATCCGTTTGTCTTTTGCCTATCAAATTTTTTGATCATTAAACGGCATAGATATTGTTGTTGAAGATGGATGAGTTTCTTTTCTATTTTTTTTTTGTTTTCTTTTTTCTTTTCTTTTTTCTTTTTCTTTTTTTTTTGTCAATAACAACGACAACGATGACTCGGACAATCAGATGGATATACCAGACATTTATCCATACAATAAACGCTTGCACCTTCTTTACCTTCGATTTCACCTATCGCATCGCACACTTCTCTGCAAAAAAATAATACAAAGAAATTAATTTACTTTATCTTTCAATTATTTACAACTACAATTATTTATATAGATTTATACTTACGGACACTGACAGACCATATTTGGACAATTCGGTGGATAACGAAGACAATTGGCCTGACACCAATCAGTCATGCCAGGTATAAGTCGATAAAAATACGTAGGTACGCAAACTTGTGATCTATGGTCAATATATATTTATCTTTATAACATGATTTGACATCAAATATTACGTAATATTAAGTGATATCGTTAAAGGTTAAAAAAATTTCGTTTAAAATAGAGTACCTTACTATTAGTGGGAATATATTGTTCGGTGAAGTAATATCTCTATAATAAAGTAAGAAAGGATTATCATCGTGCACAAAGGGTGGTGGAACTCCTGCTGTACTTGTCACGATACTGACGTCCGCACAATTTCGAAATGTTTCTGGCCTACCACATCCTACTGCTTCTGTACCATTATCACAGGTACCCCACATATTACCTGAAAAAAAAAGAAAAAATAATAAAATATTATTCATATAATTAATAAATTAAGAAAAAACTGAAATCAAATTCGAAGATTAAATTTTTATTAATAAATAAATAAAGAACCTGTGTAATAATTCCATTGAATGACACATTGGGTACAAGTTATGTAAGCCGGTAAGACAACTCTGTAACGGAATATAGCTTTCTTTTCTGTATCCAAAGGTATTTCAAAACGGACGTCTCGTGTACCAGATATGTAGAGAGGATATCTGAAACGAATGAATTTTGATTTTTCATAGTTTAACAAATCAAATTAATAATCTATACCTATCGAAACATTGTTGAGTTGCTTCGCTCCTAGGATTGTTATTTGGACAGAGATATAACTCGAATCCTCCCATATGATTAGCCGTTAGCTCAACTTCGATGTCGATTTCCTATAAACGAATAATTATATAATAGTTGGGAGTATTAAAGATAATATTTGATTATTTGTTTTGTTATACAAAATATGCAAATTACCTGGCCAACCGTATAATGTCTGACTATAGTTCCTTTCGCATATTCACCACCTGCCTCGTGTGGTCTTGGCTCGCTCAAATGAAATGCGTCTCCACAGACCCCACATTTTCCTTTATTTTGAACCCATTGAACTGAATTCAAAAAAATATTTACATATCTTTTTTAATGAACATTTTTAATTTATTCTGACAAATTTTTCATTCTTTTTTTCTAATTTCTTCTTATTATTTCTATCTTTTTTTCTTTTTGTACTTTTTTGTATTTTCGTACAATACTTTTCATTCAATGTTGAATTATTTCAACTTGAAAATATTAATATTATTACATAACTCTATCCAATTTTTTTTAAATAAAAGAATTTTTTGTTTAAATCGTTTAAAAAATTATACTCAAAGAAATTTCTTGATAATGATTATTACCTTTTTTAAAATTAATTTAAACAATTATATCTTTTAATTACTTTTAAAAAATTATTTTTAAACTGGCAACATTTTTTCTGATAAAACATTATCAATAAAAAGTACTTTACGGTAAATCTAAAAATTAATTTCGATAATACGAATAAAAAAGCGCGTACAATTTTCGAGAAATTTTTTTTTTTTTACGAAATCTCTTTGATCTTAAAAAATATTGAATTTTTTAACGATACGACACACCTTAAATTCATAACCCTTAGGGTTGAATTTTTTCTTTTTAATCGGCTGCCATCCATCTTACAAAGAACCCGCTTATTATGGGTGAAAGGAAATCATTATTAAAAAAGAAAAAAGAAAGAAAAAAGAAAGAAAAAAGAGAGAGAAAAGAAAAATAAAAAGAAACGAACCTGCATACCCGCCGCAGAATAACTCATTATCGTTGTAATTCACTGGATTCGGAAATCCAAATCGCCACATACTATTACGTCCTGGTGGATCCATAAGTCGTCCATGTCCAAGAACATGATAGTCGTCGGGAATCTTCGAATAAGATTCTTAATAATAATTACGGTATTTGATACGAGCTTCGATCGAAACTCACCAAATAACTTTAATTACGTCTTTATTGCAGTCAAATGATTTATGATCGTAATTTAAACTTACATTTAAAAAAAAGTATAGCCCTACAAGGAATAAACTGGTATATTGATGCCTGGTAATCATCGCAATATCTGAAATTTTAATTATGTTATTAAAGATTTACGTTATTCAACGTAATAGTCATCAATGTAAATTCGCTTAATATAAATTTATTTTTACAGATGATCATAAATTATGAACAATGATAATTACTTGTCGTTAACTAATCATCATTACTATATTTCAGCCAATACTTATGAATGATATTAATTCTTTATACTTATAAATAAACGCATACATGAAATTTTAATTTTTTTATTTAAGAAAAAAAATAGGCATTTACTTTATTAGTGTGAAATGTAATTCGTTGAAAAAAAAATGTTATTAATTAAGTTTATATTATTAATAAGTCATTGTGAATTACAAATTGTGATCATTATTTATTAAATATGAAGAATGACTAAATTCTATTTTGTTAACATTGATAAATGATGAAAATTCTTTATACTCATGAATAATCAGAAATAATTATTAAAATTCTAAATAAAATGATTCATCATCGTTTCATGCCTTAATTTATTCCTGTCATAATCGAAACGTAATCAAAATCAATAATGATTTTCGTAAATAGAAAGAAAAAATTTTGTATTATTTATATCGTTCAGACAGATTGTATTACCATAATTTATTGTTGAGTTAGCAGCATCCCGTTATTATTCTAATTAGAAAAAGATAAGAAACTCATTATATATTTCTATTCGTGAACGCCATTAGTGTATCCATTAGGATCATATTTCACGGCTTACGAATGAGCCAATCAACGTCACTGATGCGTACCTAGCTCGATCAATCTAAAATGAGATATATTTATAAAGATCTATATGCTTGACGTTAGAAAGAAAAAAAGAAAAAAAAAAGGAAAAAAAAAAGAAAAAAAAGAAAAAGAAAGAGAGATAGAAACTAAAATGAAAAATGAAAAGAGAATTTCGTTAATACAAAATCGATTTAAACGGCTCTCTAAATTTGAATTAGAAAGAGTATCCATGAATAAATTGCAGATCAATGTCCTTGAATCGAAGCACGCATGTAAACTTGCGTAACGATCTTAGAAAAAGACAAGCTATATACCATTTGTTGTGCCAATTGAAGATAAAGATATACATGACATGACGAATAATATTATTCATTGGCTAATCGTTGAAAGAATTTCGCAAAACTATGCTGTGATATTTTTTATTATTATTATTATTATTATTTTTGTAATTAAAAAAAATATATATAATACTTATATATATAACTATTTATTCATATAATAATAATAATATATAATTACATAAATAAATAATATATATATATTACTGTTTACATTTTAAACTATTTGAAAATATATTTATATTTTATTTATAAAAAAATATATTACTTATATTAATAATAAGTAATAAAAATATTATGTGCACAATTTAAAATCTCTTAAAATTTTTCTATGTAATATGTTATATATTTATATTTTTATATTACTTATATATTTTTATTCCTTATAAAAATATATATTTATATTAATTATATTTTTATTTATTTATATTTTCTTTTTATTAGTGGTAGAATCTTATTTTATATACAAACTCAACGAAATAAATTAAAAGAATGTTAAGGAAAAAACGCGCATTATCAATAAATACTTCTTATCACAATCTTTAATACATATAAAAATCTCAAAACAAACAAATGACAAAGCGTAATCAAACGAGATACGGAATCTTTTCAATTTTATTAATTTATTGACATAGAAAAAGAATGATAATGGTTAAAAAGATTTACGAACTGTAACAATGAAAAATCACAATTCACAATTCGCATGATAAACTATTACAGAAGATCGAGAAGTCGTAGACGACATATTCGAAGATAAAACTCAAAGATTGGTACGTAAAAAAAAAGAAGTAGAGAAAGAAAAAGAAACAAAAAAGAAAGCGAAACGCGTAAGGAAATTAAATAAGATTACATTCCATTGGTCAGTAAAAATTAATCATCAAATGTATAAATACATATATATATATATCTTATCGAGTCGTGACCTCTTCTACTTATATAAATTGCCATTTGATTTGATTTAAACGTTATTAAAGAGATATCATAGAACTCGTCGTTATTTGTTGGTAAGTCACGAAGTAAATCTTAATGATCGGAATAAATAAAAACAAAACTAAAAAATAAGTTGGTGGATTCGTCAAAGGAAATCCTTGAGGTTAGTTGGTTAACCTTCCTTCGAAGATAAATCGAAGAACGGTATGAGTTGGGTTATCAACTTTCGTGTATAGTAACACAAGGAATACAAAAAATAAAAAGAAAAAAAAGAGAGAAAGAGAGAGAAAGAGAAGAAAAAAAAGAAAAGAGTTCCTTAATAATCTCGATTCTCTTTGAGGATACTTCTTTTAATATCAAGAAATTCCTTTGGCCGTGACTTCTCCTTAAAAGAATTTCCAAAGCCTAATAAATTATAATATCTCTTATCGACATATGAAAATGCCGCACGATAATCAATATTATTAAAAAAGAGAAGGAAAGGGAATAAAAAAAGAGACAGATATTATCGTCGTAAGCAAAATTCTTCGACGCAAACAAAACGGAATAAAATGGCTTTACGTTGGCTAGTCGCAAAGCGTTTCGTCAAATAATAAAATTTTTTTTATTATATTATTATAAAATAACAGGAAGGATCGAGAGAATAACATCGAAATGTAAACCAGTTATTTTACGATTTACTAAACGATCGAAGAAACCCGAAGAAATTTCACGCTAATCAAAGAAACAATCGACATATTTTTTATGAATCAAAAATTCCATTAAATATAACGAACATATTGGTAGGAGGAAAGAAGATGAAGGAAGAGTAATAATGTAGAAAATAATAGTTTCGAAAACGAGTTTTGAAGATGATTATCAGCGAACAATCAGGTTTTCACGGTCCCTTCAAAAGCGTTGGTTACGTTGTTAAAAAAAAAAAAAAAAGAAAAGAAAAAATTAAGCTAACCAAAAAGAAGACAAACAAACGAACAAACAATAAGAATAACGATAATAATAATAATAAGAAGAAGAAGAAGAACATCGAAGAGTCATAAATGTGCGATAAAGGCCATGGTTAACATTGGCTATTGAAAGAGTTTGATTTATCTTCTTTGAGAGATCGGTCGATGACTGCGTTTGTCGGCGAATTAATGAAACCAGGAGATAAAAATGTCATTAAAAAAAAGAAAATTGAATATCATTATATTCGACAATTTATTTTTTCTTTTTGTTTTTTGTTCTTTCTCTCTCTTCGTTAAAACTTGCACTTCATACTATCATTATATTTCACGTTCGGTGTTGATTATCGTTATTGCAGAGAGAAAGAGAGAGAGAGAGAGAGAGAGAAGACAGCAATTAACGAAGTACTTATCACATCGTTCGATGATATACCAAACAATTTGTAAAATAGCAAATATATCGTTTTATTTTTTCTCTATTAATTATACATTGATTCTGATATCGTTGAAACGATGATATTAATTATCGACCTTCGTTCGTGATTTTATAAAAAGTGAACTAGGTATGTACTTGAATCTTTTTTGTATTGACTTTTAATTGCATCGCAAATCGATCCTTCAGTCTATGTGTGGGTGTATGCGTATATGTATATGTATATGTATATGTGTATGTAAATATTGATGAAACGTCTTTGCATGTTAATGTGAGTGCATCGAACGAATGAGAGGATTCATGACCACGACTTTCGAGTATAAAATTTCATATTAACGTGGCAAGCCTTACTATAAGATTTAAATATCAGGATACGTGGTTTTATATATGGGAAATCTGCCACGTAAGTTGCAATACCACCAACTCACAGGTACTTATATATTCGCCAATATCTCTTATAGTATACTTCTTTTACTTTATAATATCTTCAGTTTACGTTTATCTTTGTATTTGTAATTTCCGTACGCGTTCTTTTATTTATACCTATTCAAATGCTATTAACAAAAGTAATATACGTTTTACTGTAAATATGTACTAAATATATATATATATAATATTTATATATACATTTATATATATATAAATATATACATATATATTACATTTAATATATTTAAAATTTCTTTGTTTTAATATGTAATATATATTTATTATTGTTATATATTTATCAAAAAATTATATCTTTCTCTAATTTTGTTTTTCTTTTTCAATATCGTACCATGATAATTCTAATCAATCGAATATGTGAACCACCGAAAACCTGATTGGTAAAGATCATATGACGAATGTAAAATTAATGAACCTTTTAAAATGTCATAATTATTCTCGTGCTTGTAAATTTCGTAGAGGACTTCTTAATAGATATTTTTACGAGTATCCAAATGAATTTTAATAGATCCGAAGAAAGTATACTAATAAAACTATCATGCTTATATATGTACAAGAATAAATATGAAAATTCATAGAAAATAATATCTTAATAATTTTCCAACTGCTTCAAATTATCCTTAGTTAGTTTATATCCATCTATTATTTATTATCAACATTATATATAATTCACGTGTATTTTTGTACCTAATAATAGTATATCACATATATATATATATATATATATATTATATATATATATATATATAAATATATATATAGATGTATATCACATATATATATATATAAATATATATATAGATGTATATCACATATATATATATATATATATATATATATAGATGTATATCACATATATATATATATATATATATATATATATATATATAATTAATAATCATATATATAATAAATATTATAAGAATGTACCTATATTATATGTACTATTATACTATATTATAAATATATATTTTTATATATTTAACTTTTATATATTTTTAATATATTTTATATATTAAATTAATTAATTTTATAAATTTATCAAGTAGTCCGTATTGTTCGATGACAATTGAAAAAGAAAATAATATATATAAGTCATACTACTGAATAACCAAAGAAAGCTACGAAATTCCACATGGAAATCCTTGAATATGCATGATATGTATACAAGTAGTACATGTACAGTAAGTACGTTTTCTTTAGTCTATCTCTTTCTTTTTGACAATAGACGTTCACTGAAGAAAAAAAAAGAGAAAAAAGAAATATCGATGAACAATGGATGTCCTCTTCTTCACATCCACTAAGGAATAATCGAAAATATTCGTGTCACTATCTCTTAGAATCATGACTAAGTTTTAATCGGAACGTTAATATTATACCTTATAATACGAACAAAAATTCCGTTCGCGTAGAAATTTATCAATAGTAATGATGCCGACGGCCGTTCAGATAAAACGATTATCCTGATGATTCATCATTTCTAATGGAAATTATTAATTATTATGTTAATCCTATTCAATCCATAATCTCGTTTGTATATAGAAATAAGATTAACAGAATTAAAAATATCGATCGGTATCGTCCATCGTTAATAATATAACATAAAAACTTATACGAATTATAAGTAGTTTATAGGATTGATATAAAATATTCATAATATGTAAATAGTTATATTTTATTAATAAAGATTAACGAATACCTCTTTAATATTGAATATTAAATATATACAATGAGTAGAATGAAAGAAATCGGGTTAAATCATGTTGCACCGGTTTTGAATATTGAAATACCGGTAGAATCACAAAAGCGAGAGAAAGGAAAAAAGGATAAATATTTTTGGTTCTCGGAGACCAAGGTCGCAGACATTACTATGTAACTCGGTAACTCTTTTAAATAAACAAAAAAAAAAGAAAAGAAAAAAGGAAAAAAAAGGAAAAAAAAGGGAAAAAAGGAAAAAAAAGGAAAAAAGAAAAAGAAAAAGAAAAAAAACCAAAAATATCCTCAAGTACACATGTAATCTGACTGAGTAAAGAAATCTACTTGGGAAGATTTTACCTTCTAATTTCCAAACTAAACTAATTTCTTTACAATCGAATATAACTTAAATGATTTCATATGAAAATTTTAATGTTATCATGAAAGGATATTGATGTATCATCGGGATCGATCGAAATGATAAATTCTTTCCTAACAGTAATAATTTTCGATTAGGTCGATTTAACTGCAAATAAGTATTTATATATCTAACATTCGCGATGCAGATGGTAAAGTTTCCGGTTCTTCCTCTCACAGCTGTTCCTCCTTTCTCATGAATGGTAGCACTTTAAAAGTATATTGGTACCGTAAGCGTGCTCGTACTTACCGGTGAGTAGCACGTGATTTGCTTCCCAATCGTTCGCCAACCGATTGAAGTAGGTGAAAATCGAGCTTGGAAATCGAAGAATCCAAGGATGCGTCCTCGAAATTTCAAATGCAGCCTTCCCAATTTGCTCTTCTTTCAATCTTTTTTCTTATTGGTTAATCAAGCTGTCCTGAGAAGTGATTGGTTGAAGTGATACGTATGAGTATATACTTTAGAAAGAGAAAGAGAGAGAGGGAGAGAGAAAGAGAAAGAGAGAGAGAAATTAATTTAAATTAAATCAAATTAAAAATTAAAAGAAGTACATACGATTAAGTACGAGAAAATACGATAAAATAAGAATTTATAGGAATAAATAAGGGCAAAAATATAAATGAATTACGAATTAATACGAGTAAATACGATCAAGTACGAATCAATACGAGTAAACACGATCGTGTGTATAATCAAGTACGAATTAACACGAGTAAATACGAATGGATACGATCAAGTACGAATTAACACGATCGAATACGAAACTATATAAATTAATAACAATTACGATATAATACGAATTAAAAATTATTAAAAAATTAATATCAATTGAAAGTTAATTATGAATTACAATGTAGAATGAAATGAAACTACTCGAACTTGAGGATAAATTTCGAAGAAGGATCGTCGAAGACTGCAGACAACGCAAAGACTGAAGCGGTCGCGATGCCTCGCGAACGGGTGAACCGAGTCGAATGCGTTCGCGCGAATGAATAATATGCGCGTAGCTCTCTGCGCGGACCTGTGACCACCGAAAAACTTGGATTACCACTACCAGAAGAGTAGTAAGGGACCAAGGTGTGGTTCCCAGATACAAGATTGTTGCTACCGATTCAAGAGAAAGAAAAAAAAAATATTAAGAGGGAGGACGACAAGGAGGGAGCTTCATTTTCACCTTTTCTATCTTTCTTCTTCTTTTCCTTCTTCTTCTTTTTCTACTTTTTCTGTTGTTCTGTTTTTTTTTCTTCTTCTTCTTCTTCTTCTTTTTTTCTTTCGTCGTTCTTTTTTTTCTTCTTTTCTTCTCACCAGTTCTTAAATCGATCGATCGATCGATCGATCTACTTTCCCTGAAATAACACGAGTTATTTTAACATGTTATTACCATGCTAAAAAAGTTTCTCGAATGTAACGAACGAAACTAAATTTTTGATTTTTTTCGTCATCTAGTGTCTCTTAAAACTAAAAACATCGACGGTGTTATTCCAGTAAATTAAGTTACATAATATATGTAGATATTTCTAAGAGAAAAGAGAAAAAAGAAAGAAATGAAAAAAAAACAACAGAAAGAGAGTAAAGAATGAATTTATCAAATTGATCAAATATAAATATACATGATAAACGTATAATGGAAAAGGTCGTAACGTGTAAATTGAGAAAACATGCGATGAAATTGATGGTAGAGACTTTTTTTATAACCATTAAAACCAGTTGTTTTTCATTTATTGATAAATCTAATGTTAAAAAACTTAGATAAGTATGGTATAAAAAAATTTCGTTGGTACCGCTAAGGAACCTACCATTTGGCCATATATGGAAGGAGGTGTGTCCGGTGTGCATTCGTTGTCATATACCTACAAATGAATACGATCAGTGGATGACAAATAGTTTCATGCTGAGAGAACGATATACGATAAATTGGCTTTTTGTATCGAAAAGGTGTCAAGAGCGTGGCAAATATTGGTTATACCTGAATTTATGCTAATTGAAATTTTCGTCTTACAAATATGGTTAGTCTCGACTTGGACAAAAAAGAAAAAAAAACAAAAAGAAGTAAAAAAAAAAAAGACCGATGATATATGACCATTGAAAGAGTCAATAAATTCATTAGTACCTTTTTTAGTATATCCTAATATTTTCATCTGGAGGAAACTTTTCTTTATTGTTATCTCCTTGTCTGTCAGTGACTTTGTCAAATATATCTACAAATACAAATATATAAATATATTTTAATAACTTTTAAAATAAATTTTTCCTTTAAAAATCCGTATTTAATAGTTATTGAAAGAAATTAGTTTGTTTAATGTCTATATTTAACAACAGTGAAAATAAATTACTTTTTGTATTTAATAATTGTTATAACAATTTTTGTTTCTTGTTTCTTTCTCTTTTTCTTTTTTTTTTTTTTTTTAATAAATATTGTTAATAGCACTTGAAGCAAAATTTTTTTTTTCAAGATTCTATCTCATACCTCTTAAAATAAATACTCCTTTTAATAGTTGTATTTAACAGAAATTAAAACAATTTCTTTTTTTAATAGCTATGCTGTAATAGCTTTTGAAATAAATTTCTTTTTTAACTGTATTTAAGATATGTTAAAATAAATTTGATAAGTTTGATAGAAACCATGAAAAATGTCTTAAATCGATACGATCTTCTTCATATATACTTACTTTTATGGAACAAAGAAACATGTTTTATCTTTCTTTATCTTTTCTTAAATTAAAATAGCGTATCGTACACTTCATTTTGACGGATCAACAACGTCAACATTTCTTCCAATTCGCACAATCCATTTCTTATCCTCCGTTAAAATTTTTAGTAGGTAAAATGTGTTAAGAAAAAGCCCGAATTCGAACTTTCACTATCGTCGCAATAACTGGACAATCGACGTATGCAGTAGTAATACTATTCGTGACAAGAAATACAATCTTGTTTTTAAAACGCGTACGAAACGACGAGCACTTGTGTAATAAAAACGTTACACAGCTTGATTGCTTGCATTTATCTCTCTCTTTCTCTCTCATAGTTACTTTCTCGATTAAATACACATATATATATATATAAACATTTATGTATGTATGTATGTATGTATGTATATATATGTATATAATATCTATTGTCCTTAAATACATCTGGATATATTTTTTGTTGTAAAAACAAATATATCGAGCATTAATACAAAGTATCACCAAAAATTTTTTTATTAAAAATATATAATTGACTAATTAATAACTTAATAAAACTGAAATATATAATAATTAAATATATATATATATATATATATATATATATATATATAAGTGGATCGGAAAGTAATGTCGTTTCTGCGCATGTCGATATTTGATTGTTAAAAATTGTTAAAAATTGTTGAAAATTTATTCGTTTGAATTTAATTTAAGAAAATGACATTACTTTCCGGTTCACCTAATATAATATATTGCTCCAATTTATAAAAAAATTTATAACTACACATTAATCAGATAATTGAATATAATCAATTTCCCATGTAGATTAACAGTGCCCTTTCTTCTGGTTAGAAAATTTTCAATACGAAAAATATTACAGTATATTAAAAAAGATTAAACTTAAATCATACATATTAAACCATTAATCATACATATTACTCGTAAAATATGTGTATATATATATATATATATATATATATATATATATATACACATATATATATACATATACATATATATATATATATATATATATATATATACATATAAATATAACATTTTAAATATAAAAAATATGATGAGTATATTAAATATAGAATATTTAATACATTCATCAATTGATAATTTTCAATATCGATTGAGAACGAAGAACGTCGAGATAAAATTCAATGCTGGGGCGCTGGCGCATCAGGAGAATTCAGCGTTTAATAATCGTAGAGAGTCGGTCGCTCTGCGTTCGTGAAAGATCGAGTCCTCTCGGCTTGTCGAATCGGATAGTATACGGATTTCGAGCCAGTAGTGCAAGTCCATCCCTACTTGCGATACGATCGAGGGAACGGTTTCAAGTTTCTCGTTTAAAACGTGTCATTTATTCTCATTTAATTCTCAATTAAAAAAATATTTTGTGTTTATTACGTCATCGCCGAAGATACGAAGGGAAGAAAAATTGAGGGCTAAGGGATGCTCGTTAACAAGTGCCAGTCTGTTCATATCCTCGCACGCTGTCTTCTCAGCGGTAGTTATTAAGCACACTTAACTCTTTCTTTCTTTCTCTTTCTCTCTCTCTCTCTCTCTTTCTCTCTCTTTCTCTCTCTTTCTCTCTCTCTCTTTAAATCTATAGAACTCTCCCCCATTTTATGTACTTTATAATCGATCAATCGACGAGTTTATAAATTTTTATAATTTTTGTTTCTTATTCGAAACGCGTCATAAAAAATCTTGAAAAACAATTGACCTAAATTCTCTTGTAATATCTTGTTTGGAATATTTTGTTAATAAATATTTTATAAAAATTTTTGTTAAAGTAACAGGTAAATCTGTATGTACGTGTGTATGCGTGTAAATTAATTAAACAATTATCTTATATTATTTGTTAGATGAAATTTACGTTCCTTTAAAACTTATCCTACTCATGGACCTTCCTTCTTTGTAGGTTTTAATCGATTGAACGAATATTCGTTTTGAGAACTTACGATTCAATTTCACATACAAACAACAATGTAATTTCAATTTTGAATGTCAATTTAAAATGTTAATCAATCAAAATAAATTATTTATTGCGAAAATATTAACGAGAGTTTTGCTTGTGTGTCTGCAGATCAATAGCAGGAAAAAAAGAAGATAAATATATATATATATATACATACATATATATATATATATATATATATATATATATGTATATATATATATATATTTATCACAACATATTGTACTTGCACATGTTTAATAAAGATAATTCTATCTTACAATTAAAAGACAATACTCTTCGAACAAAAAATAAAAATGAATAAATAAATCCAACTTGATGATTAAACTATTAAGCATACTCGATTATCAGCTGATAAACGTAAATTACTTTGTAAATATAATCTAAATAAATATACGTATTCTTCATATCATGTTTACGAACATATTCGTAATACCTTAACAATCATTGGATATCTTTTATCTTATCAAAAAGTTTTGTTATTGAAATTTCCCGCTTTGAGTTATAACGTTAATATCGATGAACGACAAATGCTATATCGTCAATGAACTTTTAGCACCACAACAAATAACATTTATTTGGGTATTACAAATATTCGATAAATATCATTTTATATATCGATTCGATATATTGCAAGTATTGTTAAGTAATATTTAATATATACAATAATAATAAAAATATCAACAAGTTTACGTTCGTATAATTAAATAAATTTTTCTAAACAATTTATTTGATATTTGAAGAAAATGATATAACCGTTCGATTTGAATTTATTTTATGAAATAATATATCAAATTGTAATTATATATAAAATTTATCTGCCACATATTATAAAAGACATAATGATTTGGTTGTTGGACCAATTGACTTTAACTGGCATTAATAAAAGTAATCGTTTGGACCGATCTCGAGTGACATGATTAAAATCAACCTGAGTACTCTATCTCATAGAATATACGTTATATGATATCGTATCTCATCAGTTAGATCCGATCGATAAGGAAATATATTGTATTGACAAAAACACTGACATTCGATTTTATTACTCATTAAACGTCATTGTTATTTTTCGAATTCAAAAATAATCTTCTCAAATGTTTGAAGAGAATGATTTGATTATTGTAGGGCAAAGGAATTGGAAAAGATGTTTGACTGGTTCGGCATTGAAAGAACCAAAAAAACCGATAATAACAACGGAAATACCTGGGCCACGTTCACGAAGTTTACTTCAAGAACTTAATTCGATGCAGGTATCTATATGTTTCTGTTTCGAAAGTGAATAAAAAATTTTAAAAGAATTTTTATCATTTACATATGTTCCCAATGATTGTCAAAATTTTATTTTCAAAATCTGGTTTCAAATCTGATTCCAAAGATTTCTACGTTCTAGAAACAATCTTTAGAACAACTTTTATTATTGTATATAAAAACTCAGATATAAATAAATAAAACATTTTTTTTTAGAATCCACATACAAAGATCCTGAGAAAGAAAAAAAAAAAGAAAAAACAAAATTAAAATCGTGTTTTTTTATATAAAATCGATCGTTATTGAAATAAGAGATTTTCAAAGAAATTTTTGTAGTAATTTTATATCATTTTCTGACATACAAATCGATATAAAAACAATTATAACTTTTTAGAATCTAAAAGACGATCTTGAAACAAAAAGAAAAATTACTATTATGATTTATATAAAAAAAGCGATTGAAATTGAACTAGAAAATCCTCGAAGAAATTTTCAAAACAATTTTAATTTTCTTATATAAAAATCTGAAAGTAGAAGGTGTTAAAAGTAAAAAAAGAAAAAAAACAATTATAATTTAGTAGAATATAAAAAAATCCTGAGATCGAAAGAAGAAGAAACAAATTTGATAAAAAAGATTGATAATCCAATTATAATTTAAAAAATCGATCTGTATAGAACATAAAATAATAATAATAATAAAAATAATAATAATAAAATGTACAAGGTTGTTAATACCATATAAAAATTTTTTTTCACAGCAAGCCTCCTCGGTCCAATTCTTTGCAGATTACGATAAGTCATCCGGTAATTTTATAATGGACGTCGACGGAAACACGTTGTTGGACGTTTATATGCAAATTTCGTCGATACCTTTAGGCTATAATCATCCAGCCATGTTGAATGCTGTCGCTGATCCAGTAAATCAAGTGAGTCCAAATAACGAAAGAAAGAAAAAAGAAATAAAAAAAAAAACCATGAAACTTTGAAAAGGTCAATTGGGAACATTTATAACTTTTTTTTCTTTTCTTTTTTTTTAGAGAATCATGGTAAACAGGCCAGCGTTAGGTGTATTTCCGGGGAAAGAATGGCCTAACAGATTGAAACAAATTTTTCTTAGGAAAGAGGTAAATCAATTGATTAATTAAGTAATTAATAACAACCTCAAAGGAACAAACAGATAAAATTAAGATTTCAATATTTAGGTCGCTCCTCCAGGATTGTCACAGATCACAACGATGATGTGTGGTTCTTGTTCGAACGAGAATGGTTTCAAAAATATTTTCATGTGGTACGCAGAGAAAGAACGAAAGGGTGCACCCTTTACAAAAGAGGAAATGCAAACGTGTATGATGAATCTATCACCAGGTTCCCCTAAATATTCAATCATGTCTTTTAAAGGTATGCCTTAAAAAAAAAAAAAAAAAAAAAAAAAATAAATAAAAGAATTTATAAATACGATTTCGTTTATCATCAGGTGCATTCCATGGTAGAACTTTAGGTTCCTTATCAACGACTCATAGTAAATATATACACAAGATTGATGTACCGGCTTTTGATTGGCCAATTGCTTCATTTCCTAAATATAAATATCCTCTAGAAGATAATATTCGAGAAAATCAAGAAGAGGATAAATGTTGTTTGGCCGAGGTATCAATATTTAGAAATATTCTATGCCAATTGAAAAAATTATAGTGAAAAACTTTAAATTCTTTCTTTTCAATGATAGGTCGAAGAACTGATTGAAAAGTACAAAACTGAAAAGAAGATACCTGTAGCCGGTGTCATAATCGAACCAATTCAATCCGAAGGTGGTGACAATCATGCATCTCCCGAATTCTTTCAAGAACTTCGTCGTATAACATCCAAAGTACAATCGATTTCGTTGCAATTACATTATACTTGATAGCTTGATTTTTTTATTATCAATTTAATATTTTTCTTTTAGCACGGAATAGCTTTGCTTATCGATGAAGTACAAACAGGCGGTGGACCAACCGGAAAAATGTGGTGTCACGAACATTTTAATTTAAATTCACCGCCAGATTTGGTTACCTTTAGCAAGAAAATGCAATTGGGTGGCTATTATCATCGAGAAGATTTGAGGTATGAAATAATTTTTTAAAGACATATTTCAATATTGATTACATTTTTTTTTTCTTTCATTTCACCATAGACCAAAGCAATCCTATCGTGTATTTAATACGTGGATGGGTGACCCTAGTAAATTGATATTATTGGAAGTAGTATTAGACACCATAATAAAAGAAAACCTGTTAAAACAAGTTACCCGTGTTGGTAATTACATGTTAAAGGAATTGAATGCTCTTCAAAATGAACATTCTACAATAATAAATTCCGTTCGTGGTCGTGGAACGTTCATAGCTTTCAATTGCGAAACATCTGAACGTCGAGATGCTCTTATCAAAAGATTATTAGCTAAAGGTAAGAATGTTTCCATTTGTATAAAATTTCAATAATATACGTCTTATTTTTTCGTATATTGGAATATGTATTTTTCCGTTATAAATAGGTATACAAACAGGTGGATGTGGTGATAAAGCAGTAAGATTAAGACCAGCGTTAACATTCACGGAACATCATGCTGATATATTTTTGGACGCTTTACGGGGTGTTTTAAAAACTTAAAATCTTAAGGTCTTATGAATGCCTTTTGATCGATTATTCAATCACACGTCTTCCATAAATTATAGATATAATTTTAAAGAATTTATTATAAATATCTACAAAATGTATCCTTAGGTAATGACATATTTTTGTATGGCAGTTTTATCATCGTATAAATAATGTGACCGATTTAATCTTCGAAATTTATTTGATCAGATATATTTAGTATTGATAAAGTTTATTATAATTAACGTTTAATCTCTTGCTTCTTTATAATTGTTATTATATCTGTTATTATTATTATTATTGTTACTATTATCATTATTATTATTATTATCATTATATCTTGATCTTTTTCTTGTAATTTCTTTAATTACGTAAACTTCCATTTATATTTTCTTCAGTCATTCTTATCTCTCGTATCTCTCTTAAATTTATATATTTATTCGTATTCTTTTTTCTTTTTTACATAAAACTAATATGAAAAATTATTTTTTATCAAACGTTCAATTTTAAACGCAGCACATTTTAATAGCACTTTAATATACGATAGTACAAAACATTTGTTCCTGTAATATTAACTTTATATCTCTCATAATATTGTTTGGCTGTTCTTTTTTAATATTTCTTAAATCTAATTTAATTAAATAGTTAATAATACATTCATAACTTAGTTCGAATAATCATTGAATTTAAATTATGCTTTTATTGTTATAATTAATTTTTCTAAAATATGTAAAATTTTTAAGAAACTATTGTATATAATTACAACATGTCTTCCAAACGACTGCCAATAAATTCTGTTAAGCATATATTAGACCTACTACCATTTCTTTTTTTCTCAACATAGAATTATATACGAATATTCTAACTATTTCACTTAGATTAAAGAAATTGCTTTATTTGTATTTATTTATTTATTCATTCTTTTTAGAATACCTACGAAATGTTCATGTTCCTGGCAATGCATTTTTTGCATCATATACGCTATAATTTTTATCTAAAAAAAAGAGAATGTTTTATTTAATAGATCTAAGTTTATAAACCGTAAATTAAAACAAATCCAAAGTCCATATACCTTAACTTTAGGATCAACAGAACCATGTCGTTGAGATAAATTCCATAGATTTACAGCAATATTTGCTAATGCAGGTTGACGTAAATCTGCCCTTATTATAAAACGATTAAAAAGTTCTAATGCAAGAATGGATTGCTTATCCAATTGATCTGTAGATCCGAGATATTTTAAATGATTAAGAATTTCTTCTACTATTTTAGAACATATTTTGTTGACCTCTTCAAGAAACTTTTGATTCGATCCATAAAATTTATCATTAGAGTCAACCTAAAAAAATATCTTTTTCTTCTTTTTTATCTGTATAAATAAAAAAATAGAAGAAAAAGAATAGCATAGAATAGCAGAAAAAGCTGAATAATACAGATTACCTTGTCTATATGATAGGGATAATTCTCTTGAGTCACAGTTGAAAGAAGATCAAGGACACGTAAATATAAGTATGCTTTAGTTGAGGTACTTTCATCACAACAACGTTGTACAGCATTTAGCAAACCTCTTATCAAATATAAAACACCATGTTCTGGACTATCCTAATATGTCAAAAATACTTGCTTTTTATCAAAAAGTTTGTTTTTATCTTACATATATTTTTATCTATGAATATGAATAACACATAAATACATACCGGAACCACCAATAAGGTAGACAAAAAATTGTACAGATATGATAGCAAATATGGCTGTGAATTTTTTTGTCTTCCATCAATGTCTATAGTTTTAGGCATCTCTGGAACTAAGCTTAATGCTGCTTTGAAACAAGCATCAGCTAATAGAATTGTAAACAAAAAAAAATGTATATTTTTTAAATCAATATATGAATAAAACAGTATTTTAATATCTTAGTACTTTACCTTGACCCAAACATTGATTTAAAAGTGCTACTTGTCCTGATAGTAGATATAATTGAAGACGAGTATATACTAAAGTTAATGATGGTATAGTTATGAAACAAAATGCTGCACATGCACGTACAAATGCTGAAGTTCTTCTAGTATGATGCCCACGAACTATTTTCCTTGTATCTACAGCTAGTCTATTCACACTCTAATTGCAGAGTTGTAAATATATTTGAATTATTGAACATCTATTTTATATTAAATATAGATCATTAAATATTTCTCATACCTGTATGAGTTGTATATGGACACTATCCAAATTAGGGAAAGCTGCTCTGGCTTCAACATAAAAATTAAGTTGCTTTTCAAAATCACGCCCATAATCAACTCGTTGTACAAGGCCACAAATTAATTGGCCTATTTGACGTTTCTCATCTTCGACAGTTAAAGCACTGTGATTATTAATTAATATATGTAGATTATATAAATATAAATAATAAAAAATTATTACATTATTTATAGCAACAAGTTATATATACCTAACAGAATCATGCATTATCCTGGCGATAAACATTAAAGCATTTATAATAATTGGATCTGTAATAGGACTATTTTGATTGCTTAAACCTTCTATAATGGTTTTACAAACCTCAACTCTAATACTTTCCTTGTGGAACAAATCTATCAGTGGCAAAAAGTTATCCTAAAATGAAATTTAAATTTTACTATATCAATAAAATAATAAAATCGGATATATACAAAATATTTTATTTACCATAGCCAATAAAGATTCAAAATCTTGTGTATAAGCAACTATTTTTTCTACAACCGTTTGCAATTGTGAATAATAGTGCTCGAATGTTCTATTTGGACTAAGACGATCAATTATTTGTCCAAAAAACAAATTCAATTCGTTAACCTTGAATATAAATAATACATATTATGAAATATGCATTATATATATATCCCAATCTTATATTTTGCACAAAATTTTATAACTTACAGAAAAATGCAAAACAGTAAATTGTATCCAAATCTCTATGCAATGCATGAATTTAGTAGGATCTTTGAGCTCGCTTATGTACTTCCATATTATTTGAAGAATCGCTTGACAGTCCTCTTTCGGTGGGGATTCTTTTATAAGACACTCACCTAAGGTTCTGTATAATAGATGCTGTGGATATCCTATTATATGACGAAAGAAAGTTTAATACAATATCTATCTAAGTAAAAAATAATAATCTATTTAGATTACTTGAAATGATGTAATTTATCTCGTTCATTACCATCATCTTTACTTTCTGCTATTAAATTTACAAAATCCATTGCACGTGCAGCAATATACACTGGTCTGAATGCTATCAATACAGAGTTTAGCAATAAAGAACTAAAGCAAAAAAAGATAAAAAACAATAAATTATTATAAAAAATTAAAATAACGTAGTAATATCAAAATATCAAAATAAATATAATACCTTTTTGTCTGTTGTTTGAATCGAGAAAGAACTTCCTCTAAAAGACTATCTGAAGCTGTTGCTACCAAAACTTGTAAAATCCAATCTAATGCAGGCAAATAGAGGTTTAAATATGAATACAAAGTCATATTTTGTTTACCCAATTCATTTTTTACAGATTGTCCAAACAATTGATGATATGTAAAAAGAAAGTCGTACAGATTATCTTTTGCAAATTCAAAATCTGAAGTTTTATTTAAAGCAAGTCCTACTCTACACAGGTAACATCTAGCATAGACAGCTATTAGAGGATTTCCAATCCCTCGTATCATTCGAGTAATGCGTAATAGAGCTGTGTTAAATTCGCTAAAACCGAAAATGAATAATTAATATTAACAAGTTTCTTAAAATTATTACTGAAATAATTATAAGTAAATTATCTTACCTTGTTGTTAGAAAACTATAAGATTTTATTATTGCCATCTCTACATAAAGTCTTGGAACTAATTCTCTTATCGAAGCTATTTTATAAAACCAATTACGACAAGTTTCTTTTGCATTTTCTGGAACCATACTTGGTGTAAAATTATCAGGTAGGCTTGTTGGGACTTTACTTCCGGGTCTATACAAATTTTGTATAATTAAAATACATAGTAAATTGAATTAAATGTTAATAAAGTGAAAAAAGTAGTGAAACTAACTTGTAATATTCAGCTTTCACCTTTAATCTTTCATACACAAGTTTGCCAAAAATATCTAAAATATCTGTGATCAATACAAATTTACTAGGATAAAAGGCCATTACAGATGTATCCACTAATAATTTAGCACACTAAAAAATCAGATTTAATGTAATCTATTAACATATTTTTTATTATTACTTATTGAAAAGAAATTTTTAAAAAGCCATACTTGAATTGCAATTTTCAATGCTTTAACTCTTTGATCAGAATGCCAAGCTTGTACTAATTCATTATTTAATTGCTCAATCCTTGCAGTGTATTCCTGCTGTGATAAATCTAACATTTGTCTGACAGATCCTTCTTCAAAGTCATCCAATTGTTCTAATCTTGTTCGTACTTTATCAACCATTGTACCACTTGGCTGCACTTTGACCATAACTACAATTAAATTGTAAATACCATAATATTACAAGATCTGATGCAAATTATAATATGGATTGTAACTATAATATAAAAATAAATACCTTTTTCTCCTCCTGATAAAAAACTAGTAACGATTGATAATTTTTCTGAAGTTGTATATTTACTTAAAATAGCATTACGTCTAGCCAACCATGGTTCTATTAACTCATCTGTAGTATCTCTAGGCTTTTTACCAGGAACTGCTGTTACACAAGAGTAATCCCACTGCAATGCACATTTATAATCATATTACATCTTCCTATTGCTTTTAAAAAATTATTACATAAATTACTTCATCTGCAGCCATTTTAGATAAAGGATCCAATTCTTCACGTGCGAATTGTGTAAGTGGATCCGAACCATCCAAAGCAGAATGACTCAATAATGGATCCATAGACAAATTTGTTGGTAAAGGTGTATGAGTTGGTGTCGGTGTTCCTGTAGAAGAACCTGTACTTGTACTTCGTAATACATTTCGTCTAACTCCACTACGTCCGTCGATTAACTACAAAAAAATAAATTTCTTAGAATTTCTTTTATAATAAAACATTATCTATTATTACAATATCTTACTGTAACAGTAACCGGCTTCAAAGGATGTTCAGTCACTTCCTCTAATCGAGCATGTTTCACAGATCCATAATCTACTGATTTTGCTATCCTATGATAAATAAATATATGACAAATTTACTTATAAAAAGTAATATGTATGAAATGATAAGATTTTAAAAACTTTTAATAAATATATACCATTCTATTTCCGTCATTTTATCTGCTCATTTATATATTCTATTAATATATATATATATATATATAAATATATAATTATATATTACATAAAATATACAGTTTTAATATAAAATTTTTGTAATAATTAGATCACATACTAAATTAAATATAATTCAGATTTAAGATTTGTTTTTAACTCTAAATAATAATATTTTAAATAACGACAAATAAGTAGCGTTTCTGTACAATATATTGGTGTATATATAATTCAATAAATTAGAAAGTATACAAAATTCATTGATGATAAACGAATGATATTGCCGGGAAGATAAAATTATCTTATCATCAATATAAATAACTTTTTCTTGAATAATTATCTGTATTCATAACGTGAAATAGTTATAAAAGCTATTATACTATTTTGTAATAAATTAATAACAAAATCTCAATAAAAAAAATGTATTTTGTCAGTTAAATACAATAACAGCTCTTAAAGCGCATGATACACAAAACTACTACAATGACATCTATTGTCATTGTAAGAAATTGTAAATATGCGGAAATCAAGACGTAAAAACGATCGGTAAATCTATCGTTTTCCATTTACTCAGAGATTAATGTTTTTGACGCCAGTATTTCAAGGGAAGAAAATTATTGTTCATCAAATTTATTCAATAATACATATTAAAAGTTAATATTCAATAAATATTTTGATTATAATCTGAAAACGATAGTTTTCGATAGTAAGAATAATTTCTATAAGTAAATATGTTAGTTATAAAATACATTAAAATCATTAGAAAACTACAGCTCTTTAAAAAATTAAAATTTTGTAATTCATTTATTAAAATTTCGATTTGAAACAAATGTCAATTCATTTTTTTACATAATAATTAAGAAATAATTTTTAAATAATTAATTTTGACGGCAACGTATACATTTTGGCCATTACGACAAATGGCGACTACTCCCCCTATCTAAATTTGACTAACTTCACTTTACCTAGTGGTTAGAATTATATTATATATATATATAGATATACATACACATATATATGTACTCACATATATATATATAATATATATATATTAAAGTTTGTAAAAGTATAGTCAATTGAATTGATATCTCGTGTAGAAACTCATCTAGGAAAGATTTTATATCTTCAGGTGGCTAATCTGATATAAGATACCACTATAATATTCGTTCTAACAAAAAAAGACACACTTTCCAACACCCTCTACTTCCTTGAAAGGTCCGAGCTCTGTTCCTGCTATCAGGTATCTTGGGCTTGACTTGTGAAAGTCAAGATTTTGCGTTATAAATTGTGAAATGTCAGCGGTAGACGATATTTTGGAAAGTTGGGAAGACATAGATGATCCAGGGGTAGGTTAACCATTGGAATATTTTCTTAATAATAATCTTTTCAATCTAATTAATAATGTAAGTAATCGTGTTAACCTATTTTACACATGAAATCTTTCAAGTGCAAATTTCTCTAAGCAGTGAGCATATCGATGCGCACTTGTTGTGATCATTATGTTAATTAATATTTTTGTTTGCTCAATATAATATTTATGTGTACGTATAAACTTATAAATTTTTCGAATATTTCATTACCCTAGTATGATTTATATAAATCTATGATAAATATGGAAAGAGTTAGCGAAGATTTTTTTCAATACTTCCACATTTCTTGAGAATATATTGCTACAGTACTATGAATAAAATATTGATGGATAAACATATGTTAAGTAAATACATAATTGATATAATATAAGCCCTTAATTTCAAATGTCAATATATTTTATAAAACGTATATGTTTGTTGATATGATAATAATAGAATATTTTTAAATATAAATTAGATTATATAATATTTTAGGTCCTTGATAAAAAATTGGATGTTCTCCGATTGAATGCTGTAGAAGCATTAGAAGAGATAGAAGCTTCTAGGTATGTTCATTAATTACTTTTAATAAATATAATATTGATGTAATTAATGCAAATATAAATATTTTATGTTTTAGCTTAAAGATTAATAATAATAATACAAATAATACAAGAATGATAATTTTGGGTGAAGATGGGATGAGATCTCAGTATGTACCTCCAAAGCCAACAGTAAAGATATTAAAAAGACCTACAAGAGATTCCCAAGGTAGTGGCGATGGTCCATTACTAAATGGAGACAAACCGAAACAACCTATTAAATCATTAAAACAGGTATACATGGAAACTAAAATATATCCATGCATAGGTAAGGTTTATCTCAATATAATTCAAAATTATATAGAGGGAGCAAGAATATGCAGAGGCAAGAAGAAGAATTTTAGGAGAAGAGAAAAGTCCTGAAGAAAAAGTAATACAAGAAATAAATAGAATTCAACCAAAGTCAGTTGTACCAGGTGGAAGTGCTCTTCCCAGTAATGTTACTCGTATGCCTATCGGTCCAGATGGAACACGGGGATTTAATGTACGCAGGTAGCATGTCTTCCAGGGAACTATCCTTATCACCCATCTTTTTCCTCTCCTTCCTTCTTCTTGGCATGGGAAAGAGAGGCGGCTATGAGGCCGACAGCAGAGAGCAGCCTCGTGTTCCTGATCAACTGCGAGCATTTAACTCGATTGGTCTTAAGAGGAACACATTGAGAGCTGTGCCCTGCAGGTCATTACATAGAGATCGCACACGTGGATCCAGATTATATTTTATCGGCGAAGAAACGTCACTATAATGGTGGTAACATTCATTGCCAGATTAATATTATGATTTGTTGATGTTTGTTATATTTTAAGAGCTCCTATTTGAAAAAAAAAAGAAAACAAAGAAAAAAATTGCAATTGAATTAAAATTCTGAACAATGCCATGTGAAATGCAAAGAAAAGAAAGACAAATTTTAATATACTGTAAAATTACATTTTATTCCCAGAACTTGTAATATTATTTAAGTATATTAACTGACCTATAACAATAAAAGAGTTACCTATATGTTATTTTCGTAGTACTATCTACAATTAGGTATAGAAAAAAAAAACAAACATACTTATGTTTACAAGGTAATAACAACTTGAATCTTGTTTATAAATATCAAATTGTAATCGTGAAATGTTTATATATAAAATACTTAAACGAAAATTGTTTATTATTAAATTTCTATATAACTCCCTCTCCTAATAATATCCACACTATCAATAATTCGCGTGTATACAAGAATAATAACATAAGTAGTAGTTGTTTAAAATTTTGAATTAAAAAAAAATTATATTTGTCATTTGTATGTACGCAATGGCCTAATGTAACATCTCCGATATATATAATAACAAGAAACATTTTCATCTCGCAATAAAAATGTCCTTCAACATTCGTTGGAATCAGTTTATGTTGATAATCAGAATAAGAAATTCTTATCGTTTGATAAAACTTATAGCGCTATAACTCTACGATTTATATGATAATTTAGATAAGTTGAATTTTACATGTTGGCAACATTTTACTATATGTTTTGTAGAATCACGATACACATATATCAGGGTATATCATGGCGCATGTCAAACTGTGCGTCTGCTATCGCTTCGTCGGTCACCCGTCATAGAAAAGGGTGTTCTAGAAATTTTGAAATGAAACATAGAAATTCTTTGCAACGATAGATATTTGTGATATATTCTACATATTTACTATTCGTCATACAATATATGAAAAATATGGCAGAATCAGCTGGGCCGATCCTTCATGTCATAGTCGTTGGATTTCATCATAAAAAAGGATGTCAAGTAAGTGGATTTCTTCTGACAGAATTAATAACCTTTATTTGATACGTTTTAATAACGTTATTGGTAATTTAGAATTCGTTTATTTTCGTAATAATTCGTCATCAATACAAATTGTATTTTTTCGCCGATAATTACAATGATCATTAATGTCGTCCAATTTTAAAATTATAAATTAAAATCTAATCAGATTATACACAGACTCATTTATATTTTATATCTTTTATCGTTTTAATATTTTTTAACACATAGGTAGAATACTCTTTTCCGCCTTTAGTGCCTGGTGCACCAAATGAGTGTCCACTTGGTTGGAAGTACTTACCAACTTTAGCATTACCTGATGGATCTCATAATTATGACGAAGATACAGTTTATTTTCATTTGCCTAGTCTCAATGATCCAAAACGTACCATATATGGTATTTCTTGTTTTAGACAAATTCCTGTTGAGGTAATTATAACATAGAAGTTAATATCAAATATTAGAATTACATGTATATTTTGTAAGTATATTTGCAGAAATTAAAAAATCGCACTTCTGATATAACTAGAGGAACAGTACAAAAATCTGTTTGTGTATTAAGTACTCTGCCACTTTATGGTCATATTCAAGTAAAAATGGCATTAATAACGCATGCATATTTTGAAGAAGGAGATTTTAGTAAAGTATCATTGTTAGAAGATACTTATCGTCATCTTAATTCTTGTATGAGCAGTGAAAGTCAAATACCACCTCAAGTATTTGTTGGTAACTATCAATAGAAATGTTTTTTCATATTAGCTTTAATAAAAACACCAAATGATTATATTGTACGTATATTTAAAGTATAATATTACTTATAGGTTTGTCTGCCAGAGATTTTATATTACAATTTCGCCATAAAGTACTTCTTTTATTTAAATTACTTTTGCTAGAAAAAAGAGTGGTCTTTTACCAATCTCCTGTACAGCCGTTATGTGCCACAATATTAACTTTACTTTCATTATATCCCAGTATGATCGAACATGGTCTCCAACAAGCAGCTTGTGTCAGGTATTTTGAATGAATCCATCTACTTGCTATGCACTATATTATTCAGTATATTATCTAGTATATAGTACTATATTATCAAGTATTTTAAATGAATAGATGAATTCATATTACTATATATAGTTATACTTGTATTACAATTGTTTTCTTATAGACCGTCTAGACCTATGTCTCCTATACCGACTTTTGATGATGAAGAAATTGCATTGAATAGTGTTGACTCTAATTTATCTACTACAAATGTTATAAAGGAGAACATATCAGATCTTGCGCATGAGAATATTAATGATAACTCAAATAGAAATTCTTTGTGTATAAATGATAATAAAACTATTGAAACAATGGAAGGAAAATGTATGGATGCATTTGGCAATATGACTATTCAAAAAAATAATAATGAAAATTTAAATGGAAAAATTATTGATGTAGAATCAACACAAGAATGCACTGAAAATTATGAAGAAAATAATTCTAAATATTCACCTAAAGCGAATGACAATGTACACAGAGTTCATAGCGTCAATACAATTACTTTAGGCATGGGTGATGCTGATAATAGTTTACCACGCGATACAAGTAATGATGCATTATCTGATGCACGATTGACCAACAATATAACTCAAATAGCACATATAAATCCAGAACATTGCGGATTGCCATTAAGTTTATTTACTAAGGTATATATAAGATTTTTATTTAAAAATCAATTAAAATCAGTATATGTTTTCTTTATTACTTGTAATCAAATTCATTTATTATTTTTAAGGGATATCTTTGTCTACCATATTTATCTTTACCATACTTAGATCTCTTAGGAGATATTAATGTTAGAGGATATGTAGTCGGTGCAACAAATGTTTTATTTAAACAAAAAAAGCAACTAATTGATGTTCTGGTTGAGGTGAGTTATAAGAAAAATTATTTATTAATTGTTCGATATATTATTAGACTTTAGGTAAGAAGGTATAACATATAGTGTTTGTTATGAAATATATAATACTGTACATATTTTAGTTCATGTCATAATTCAGTGATATCCAAAACACGTGCGATTTTATTTTGTATTATTTATGGAAGGTTGAAAACACAAGAATAGAAGCTACCGATCCAGAATTGAGAAGACAATTACATCTTACTACTGAGGATCTAAGATTTGCAGATTACATAGTTAGACATGTCTCCGAGCCTCGAAAAGATATTTTCTTGGATGGAGTAGGATGGGAAGGTGGTGATGAATGGATTAGAACCCAATTTCGAGTATACCTTTTAAGTATGCTACGTACTTCAATGCAGCAAGATACACGACAGTCAGATCACTATAATTCCACGTTCATGGCTGCTTGGCGTGCTACAAATAATTACAAAATGTGGAATAGCTTGAATAAACCAGAAATTAATAATATAGAACCTGGTCATCCTTTTGCTGGTCAATTATCTGTACAAGATATGAAATTACGTTTTTCACAGTAAGTTAATAAAACAATGCAATCCTCATTAATTGTATTTTAATAATTTATATATAACTCTTTTTTCATAGTACTATGCAAAATACTGAGAGTGGTAGGAAACTTAATCAAGCTATGCTCTCAACTGGAAGAGCAGTTGCAACTACTGGCAAAGCAGTGGGTAAGATAAATTCTTAACTTTTATTAAAAATCATAACCAGCAAAGTTATTTAAATAAAATATTTGTTTCTTTATATAAGGTGGTGCAATTTCACAAGCTAAAGGAGCTTTTTCTAACTGGTGGAGTACATTAACGACAGCACAAACAATAGATGAAATGAAGACTGATAATCAAGCTTCGAATATTCATCAGACTACTCTTTCAAATACAATAGAAAAAACACCAACTGACAATGAAGACTTAACTATTCAAACTAATAATACGGATGTGGTTGCGACTGTAGATTGATAGAGGAAACTGTAAGATTATTTTATGGTTAAAATGTCCTTTTTTAATCTGATTTATAAGAACGGAAGTATTCTAAGAGAAGAATTTCAAGGAATTTGAAACATTCAGTAAGTACTGTGATAGATATCAAATTTGATTATATTATCACAGAAACAGTTTCTTTCGTTATACATGAAAAGTTAAATGGATAAATATACATACATACTCGAAAATCATTATTCGTGTACAGGACACACATCTAAATCATAACATTTTTAAAAACGATGGACGTAATGTTTATAAAAAAGAAAAGAAATGCTTTAATATATAAAAGTAGATGTATTTCTGATCATTAACTCTTTCAATAGCATGTATACTCATAGATACATGTTTTTAGTAATGCTAGTTCACAGGAAAAAGAACGTATTATGTACATTCGTTTATGTATGATATAAACATAACTTCTTCATGCAGGAAAGTAAATATATATTTAGACTCATTGTTAAATACATCTTTTTTGATTTATATATAAATCTCACTTGAAAAGTACCTGTATCGTTATATTTTGTATATAAAATGTGAGACAATTTTTAGAGATATTTGTTGAAATATTACTTTATAAGATATAATCTTTCAGTTAAAATATCTTTTTATATATTGCTCCATTTTATTTTGCCAAACAAAAAATAATTTCGTTTTCTTTACTTGAACTGAAAACACAAAATGATGTGATGTTATCTTAAGTAAATGCGTTGATTATAAGAGATATATTATTTTTAAAAAAATTTATTTAATTACATGAAACTATTGTGATCTGTAAGTATTTTTTATTTATTTATTTGAAATTAATGTTACTCGAATATAAGTAAATGTAGTTTACATATATACTACAGTCTTTATATAACATTAAATGTAATGCAGTTCTACACTGCAAAATGTAAAAAAGAATTCTCATAAATAACGCTACATGTTTGTAACAAGAAACACAAATAATTATTATCGATCTTTTAATCTCTGTTTCAATAAAAATTGTATACGATTATTAAACATAAAAAATTACTAAGCATGAAATTATAGTAGTTACTTTATTTGTTTATGAATAATTGTAACTACTTTTTTTTTTTTTTT